TGTCAGAGCGGTGTTCTTCACCCCAGCCCGGTGTCCCTGCTAAGTGCCTGGCAGGTTCTTGCCCTTTCCGCAGGCTCAGTCCTTACCCCCGGCGGTGGAGCAGGAGCCCGGTCGTTTCTGCAGAGATCCCCTCCCTTGCGGTGCGTTCAGTTAGGTCCGAGCTGCGCAGACCTGCCTCCTCACGCACACGTGGCCAGCGAGTGTCCAGCAGCGGGGTTTCCTCCTGGAAAACGCATATTTGCTCTGTCGCTAAGAAGCTACAGCGGCCAGCGAACAGAGGCTTCTGTACCAATTTTTGTTGCGATTCTGGATAACAAACCGGACTCCAGACACCCCAGATACATCTCTATCCCCATACCTGTGGTAGAGGATCCTCCACAGACCTGGAGAGCTAGCGCCGTCATTCCAGTCTGTTCCCCAGCATACAGTATGTACCAGTTGGCAGCCTGGTCAACGCATCCTTGCAGGGGGAATACGGGAGCAGATGCCCCTACAGTGCCCCACCCAAAGGGATCTATTTAGACATCACCGACAGGAGAAGCCATCATGGACAGCACTCAGGTATGGAAAGAATGTTAATGCTTGTGTTCATTTTAGATTGCCAAAGTACCGTAGGAAGCTTGCTTGTACTGTTCATGTTTACAGTAGATTGGCAGATTCTCTAGTTTGGAGTCCCAGTCGTGTGAGATGTCAGTTTACTAATGCTACTTGGTGATTATAAGTGATCAAAGTACAGTAGGTGATCAGACTGAAATCAAAGCGAGGTCTAGGACTGCTTTATCACACTGTAAACTCCCCACTTTGGGACACAGCTCTTCCCACACCTATCTGACCTCAGTCAGTTTGTTACGTACATCATCCTATTTGCTTGAAATGATGGAGAAAAGGACCCCAACCTAACTACCATCACAACTACTTCCAATTACTGTCAAAGGAGAAAGGAGGGGTGTTTTTCCATTGTCCATTCAATGTAATTTGTCAGAATATGGCATTTATCTTGAGGAATCTGTAAGGGTATTTTTTTTCAAAAACTAAAGTTTTTTTCTGATAAAATCTCATAATTGTCATGTCTTTTTCTATTATCTTGAAAATGACCAGACAGATTTCACCATAAATTCTAAAATAGGACCCCTTCTAGTCCTACCTACGTAACATCAAGTAAAAATTTTAACATGAATGCATTTAATCTTAGATTTTATACCTAGAAATACTAAACATTTCACTATTGGTTAATAGTTAAATCTACAATTGAGAAGACTCCAGGAAGATTGATAGAATGACTGAATCAGATTTATTTTAACAAATGGTAAAAATAAAAGGTCAGCCTTAGCAGTTTAACTCATGTATTAACATGCAAATTACATCTTTCTGTAACAGCACAACTGGCAGTCTGACCTCCTCAGGAACATAGAGACCTGAAGTGGTTTACATCTGGAAGATAAACATTCACCTACTGTTTCCGCTGTTAATAAATGCATGTGTTCAAAGCTACGTTCGTCCTTTCTGGTCATTTCAAATAAAAAATAAGGATGCACACAGAGAATCTAGGCTCTTATTAACATCTACAGCAGAGAAAATGAAAAACTGTTGAGGCTGCACTTCTTATAAACTGTGTAAGATAAGACTCATCAACATTTTATGGGGTTGGACAGCACAGATGGGACATTGCGAGTTCCTAATCATAATTATATAACTGTTTACCAATGATCAGCTACACATTTGTTTAATCAAATAAAGGAAATTGCAATGTTATTCCTATACAACAATAAGCTTTTATTTAGCAGCATTTAGAACTGTTTTTAACATTTTTAATTACATGATAATGAGAACATGAGTTAAAACGTTGTATGTAAAGAGCCCATTGGCCCATTTATGTACATACAACAAAACTTCTTTGTTTTTACATTTAAATACAGCATAATTCATACTTATTACTGCATCTACCCACACAAAAAACAGAAACATAATCAGTGCAGTGCTGTGACAGTACAGGTATTGCTAGAAACTGGGTAGATTCACAGGGATCTTAACCTCAAAAGCAGCAACCATTTAACTGAGATTCCATTCAGTGGTATACTTCTAACTTATCCTCCATCATAATACTCTCCTCCAGTTATATACTTCAACAAAGATTTAAAAGTTGTGTGTTAAGTTTTTATGAAACCTAGAAATAACTGAATGTTCAGGTGGGTCCAATTTACTTTCAGAAAGGCTGATAACTTGAGTTCAACTCCGGTGAAAACGAGACCTCCTGGAGACTGATCTCTTTCTGAGGCTTATAGCCCTATTCATGATTTTTATATTAGGAGATAGACTATGCCTTTTTAGACATGGAAAGAATAAAGAGGAAAATTGCACAATCTTGGGCTAAATGGGTCTTCCGGGGAAGAAACACTGAAGAGTGGAAATGGGTGTCCAGTATGGACACTTTGAATAAAACATGTACAATCTCAGCCATGGCATCACTAATTTAAAAACCATAATGCTACTGAAATAGAACAGCCCGGCTTCAGCATCTTTAACTCTGTTTTCATTACAAATAAAAGTACATTTTTTACACTTCACTGCTGTACAAGTCCTGTAGAGATAACATAAATGGCTTCTTTATTCTTGAAGCAAGCCTTTGGTGCTGGGGAGAAACACCGCAACATGACAGATCACATTCAACTCAAAACACTGCATTAAACATAAAACCGAGTGGTTAACGTCAAAGAGGAAACGGGTCTACTTGGTTTAACATGGTCAATCAATACAAAGGTCAAAACAGTCTTAGATTGTTTCCAGGGGGATTTTTTTGCTTCAACACAGGGACAAAAAAATAAGTCTTAATAATCACTGAGCACTTCCACTAAATCTCATACTTCAGCTATTCACATCATGTTATCTGCTGTAAGGTAATTATAGTGCCTCTATGTGCATTTTGTATCACTAAAATTCTCTCTGCAATGTGTTAAAATAATCTCTTGGACCCCAAATGTGACATTGATTAGAAATGGCTTGTTTGTATTTGTTACCGACAGGAGTTCACACAAACCAAGAAGTCTGTAAATCCTATAAAAATAATTCAGCAGATTACAATCTCGATTTAAATTAGTCTTTTTTTAAAAAAAAAGCATTAAAATGGAATTCAAGTTCAGGTTTTAACAACTCATGCTTGCATTGGTCCTATACAAATATGAAATCAATAAATATCAGGCAGCTGAGAATAGTTCCTGTCCCAGTATCCGCTGGAGTATAGCCAGTCTGCGGAGCTGTTGTAGGGGTTGGGGCCCTGGTGAAACCACCTGAGACACAATAACAAATAAATCACCGAACAATTAATTACAGGTCACTTCAAACAACCACTGCCAAATGGCCAAGACTTAATTGTTTGCCCCTTTTTCAGATTGCTCACAGTGGCAGCAGCAGTTTCCAGTCAGCCACTGGAACGCACGGTCATTTCTCTCCAATATCCATATCTGTGAGCGATGGTTAACGGGCTGGTGGTACCCCATTACATGAATTGATTTGTGTCGTCTCCCCTTTTGGTTACTCCAGCATTTCATATGCATCTGTTACAGTATATATTTATGTGGTTCCCAAGTTAGAATTTGGTGAAGAGAAAAACTACAGTTTATGGCAGTTTTCACTCTTTCATACAAGTGTATGTATCGGCGATGCCATTACAGCTCCAATGAGAAATGGCAGAGACTCTCAGTCCCTGGAAGAGCCTCTGTCACAGTTTATTGTACAGATTACACCTGCTTTTTAACTTGAATATTTAATTCAGTTTTAAAAGGAACATGGAGAAAAAGTGGCTTTCCAATGAGATATCAAAACCAAGTTAAAACAACACAGAAAACATTTTTTTTTAAAGTAGAAAACAGCATTTCCCTTCAATAGCCCATTCTTAATACACACGCACTCAAAACGCAGGCCATTGCATGTCGAACGATTCAGACATGGTAAACCAAGAAGCAGAATTTACGAGTACAGCAATCTGAAAGGCAAGCTTGTTTGAACCACGGTTATTGTCCATGCCATTTCTGTGTCGTGAGTCATTAAACTGTCATTAATAGAGCCAAGGCTGGAATTTGCTGGTTTTAGTGCCTAACTGTGGTCCAAACTCAAGACTTCAGAGAAGCAAATCAGCCTTCACAAAGTGGATTCTTGACCTTGCAGACCAGGCCTTGATAACTCTCTGTCCTAAACTGCGCAAATCGAAATGAATCAGTACTGTACATTACTTTGCCATCAACAAAGATGTACAGGACAGCTAGATAGTCTCATGCAGTGAATATTGTGTGAAGTTCTAAGTCTACACGAAAGGGCACATTCTGCACAGTCTGCTGTGTGCCCTTCAGATCATTCACACCTCTTCTGCACTCACCCAGAAACAGTCAGGAGGCTTGAATTATTCATGGCTCTGCATGACCTGCAGTGTTCAGTACTCTGAGAACAGAACTCTTAATCTCTTGCTTATGTTGTGCTGAATGTCAGGCCTAAAAATCAGCAATGATTACTAGAAAAGGACCTTCCTCTTTAAAAAGGCCAGAAGTTAAGGGGACTAGGAAGTTATTTTAACATTTCTACTTTTATAATATTGGTTCTGACTTTCATGTAAGTAAATAGCTCCACCTTTCTATATTTAAAATTAGCTTTTTCATTCTGAGAAAAAAGGACCATTAGGAGAAGATGAGAAAACTTCATAAACTGTATAGATAGTCCTAAAAAGTAAAAAGTACATACAAAACACATATTGTTTTGATTGGGTTATATAGCACATGCTTTTAAATTAACAACCATATACAGTACTGCACATGTATTAGAAAAGGATTTGAAGTTACCATCTACTTGGGCTCTTTATTCTTCTCAAGTTACTATAGCAAAGGTTAGTTATAAAGTACTACACAGATGCTTTAGTAGTGCAGAATTAGTTTTGTTCTGGTTGAACATGTTGTACAATCACTCGATTACCTCCCCATTCTGAACAGAAGAATGTTTACAAACAAGACATTTGTTCTATCTAGATTCTCTGGTTGCTAGTAGCTTCAGTCTCTGTTTGTACACTAGAAGTACAAACATTCATCAGAGTCACTGTATTGATACCTCACACAGCTTACTCGAATAAATAAGAAAACACTATTGAAACACAGCCCCAGTGTTAAAAACCTATGATGCTATAAAATGACAATTCCTGCAGATGGCAAATCATGGAAAAAACAAAGGAAATCTTTGCGAACTTAAAACAACACATCAGTGGAGACAACTCTCTTAGATGCTTAAAACATTTATCAAGAGGGTCTGAAGAGCATTAAAGAGCACTAAAATAGATTTTCTTGGCACCAGTGACAGCAATCTGTGAATCACCAGGGAATAGAAAAGATGGGAACAGGCTCATTAGTATGGTCACACCTGTTAGATTCACCAAAATCCCAGTTACAGTCTCCCAAGAGCTCGATTGCAAGGCATTCCTGAAATGAATTTAAACAGGTGCCAGACCTACTCCAGGCCCGTCTGTGACAGAATACTACACAGAGCCATCGAGGAAGTCTAAAATAGATCAGCCGGTCTGCATAGTCTTCAGGAGGGAAAGTTTCCCTACTCAGGTGGTCTAGTTCTTGGTCTCATATGAGTGACGAGCCAAGGACTAATGTTACTATACAGTATGTGAGAAAGCTGTACAGGAACAAGACCAGGCTGCTTGAAGAAGCTTTAAAAACAATTTGGTCAGTTCCTGTGTGAGATAGTAAGGCAGGGTCCCCTTAAGAGGGTTTGAGCAGATTTATAAACTAAAGTGCAATAAACTGCATTTCGTTTGTTACAAAAATGGCCATTTCTGAAGAGCAAAAGCACATTTTCTTATAATGCTCCCGAAAATGTACAAGCAGCTCTTTAGACAATCTCTCTTAGCTGTCAAAAATGCTGTGTTTAGGAGAGATTCTTGCAAATGCACTAGAACTTATTCAGCAGTTATTTTGTTACTTCGAAATATCACAGACATCCATTTCCCAGCTTCCGCATGTAAGGAGCCAACTTAATGAACCCTTTCTCTCAGATCAAACCCTACAATTACTTACAGTACGAAATCTAACTTCCCGATATAAATCATTGATGATTAATTTTCTTAAGCAAACATTTTAAAATACACAACAGATATATTGAGAGCTATTTTTGAATCTAATTCTCTGTATAATTGATTTATCAAGCATATTACCACAGTGATATGTGCATGCTATTTCACTTAGTTCAAATCCTAGAAGTGGACATTGTTAGCTGAAGTTGACACCGTCAACAACTTTATCTTTCCCTGAAACACAAACCAGAAAGATCACATTACTAGTTTGTGCAACACGAGTGGCAATTTTAAGCATTCCAAGGGTTCAGAGTCACAAAGAAACAATGCAGTTGGAGGAAATAAGGTTAAAGAACACTCCTTTGCAGTAAGGAAGAAATAAATACAAAAAAATCATAGAATTTAATCTATTTTTGGCATCTCTTGAGGAAGAAGAGTCAATCCAATTACCTCTATTTGTGATGCATATATATTTTCTTATCTTCTGAACAGAACCAGTTTCAGAAACTCCAGGAACTAGATCCAGTTGTTTTATTTTCCTCATTTTGTGCTGCTGAGGTGTTTTTAGTTTATTTCTGCACAACAAAAGCATCCGTTGTAGTACTTCAGTGTTGGTAGTGCAACTACGACACAGGGTTCTACTTGGAACAAACCAAAGCAAACCATAACGCAAACAACTCAAACCTGGGGCCGAGAGCAGGGATTCTTCTCATGAAAAGAAAAGAGAAACAACGGGAACTAAATTAGGAGAACACACAGCATAAATGACAAAATTTTAAAATGTAAATATATCAGTAGTTGAGAACAAGCACAATATTTTGAATGGTGATGGAAAAAAACCTCACAGGACAGTGAAGTTTAATACTGTAATAGACATTATCCTGTGAAATAAGCTTATATAGCTTTTTAAATATTAATAGGAGACATTAAACTTTGAAAGGTGTAGGAGACAACTGATTTTAAATGTTTTTAAGACCACTTCAAGACTTCAGTTTTAACGGATGTTAAGGACTCCCCCTAGAGAAAGTCACAAAATGTACTCAAACCGTAAGGAAATAATAACTTTGTTTTTATTTAAAAAATTTAAACGGTTTATGCAAAGTATGTAAATAAAGTACTGCAGTTTACTATTCACAAAACTGATACAGAGAACCCTTTTTAAAGACATTTACAGTATGCCCCCTTAAATACTTTCTGTTGTATATTTCTGTGGCTGGAATATCTCATAACCACTCACAGAGAATAATCCTATTCCCTGGCACAGCAACAAACACTAAACCCATCCCGCACAAGCCTAGGACCTTCCTCATTCCACAAGTCCACTCACCTGGTCTTCCACTCATCGTCCGATTTGGAGCGGTTTTTTCGGGCTGCTCTCTGCTTCTCCTCTAGTCTCTTCTTCTCTTCACTTGCCAGATCTGCACAGTGGGGGTGGGGGGTGGGGTGGGGTGGATGCAGAGAACATTTCTGTCAGCCCTTGTAAAACATGGAGCAGCCCGATACGTTTTCACCCGGTGTTGTTTGCCAAACACGGGAATTCAAAATGTGAACATTTCCAATTTTCTGACTTTTTTAACTTTAATCAGAGGCGTTTATTTTGATACAACATATGGATACAAAATGTGAACAGAACCACCCCCCCACCCCCCAGCACCACCACAGCCAGGGAGAAGAGACTTGAGGGAAAGCCAGGCCTGAGGCTGGGGTTCGACCTGGCCCTGTCACTAGCCGACTGTGACTGACTGTGGCCATGCACAAGCGCACAACTGGCTGAGCTCCACAGCTCCACCGAGGCAGGGAAGGCCAGGGACTTCTGGGCTCCTGGGGTCATAGGGAATGTGACTCTCCATGCGCTGCAGGTGCACAGTGTTCTGTCTTGAGCTGTGCAGCCTGTGGCGTGTCAAAGGAATGCAGGGTCAGAGGAGTTCCTCCCTCTTGGTTGAGCCCAGACGTGCAAATCACCACGTCCCAGGTTCCAGGCTGCAGGGCGGCGGGGGTGGGAGGGACAGTGTACAGCCAAACACTACTGGAAACTAAATCTTCATAAAAGCTGCAGTTAAACCAGTTCTTATAACTGAAATATGGATAGTAAAATTCATGGATTTAGAAAAAAATGTTTTAATAATTCATATTATGTTAGTTAAGAACCTGTTTTTCCATCACATAAAGACAACACAAAGACATTAGGGGAAAAAAAAATAATTTCTTTCCATAAAAATATTTGTCACCAAACAATTTTTAAACCATGTGAATATGTGAGAACTGCGTGGAAAGGTTAACAAGTTTTTACCTGAGCTTTTGTGGGTTCATGAAATAACACTGTAACATGCAATGACCACATTGCTCTAAGCCCCTTAGTTACAAAATGCCACTCTACCTATATCTCCATTTTCCATTGCTCGAATGTCGGGTCTCAGCCGGCAGTCTGTTTTTGGAATAACACCTTCCATTTCTTTATCTAGTTCATTCAGCTGCATGGCAAAGGTGGTGAAGTTGTACATCTACAAATAAACAGACAACAAAATAATCTAAAGATTTCCCATTTGTGTAATAAGCACAAGGCTATGGAGCATTTCTGATAAAAATCTTGACATCAGACAAATCAAAATAGGCATTCATTCAAAATTGTGGGAGGAGTGATTCCCTTTGCTAATGAGTGATTTTGGTATTCTGAAGAGCATTGTTTAAGAGGCTTTTGATGTGTATTCAATAGCTCAGCAGTGCTGAAGCTAAATTACTTTTAGGTCTACCCACAAGCAGCCTTGTGTTTCAAGTTAGCGGCGATACCTTAAAGCAAAGCAAAATGAAAGATTGGAAAGCCTTCTCTGCTCGGCTGTAAAATGAAACTGATATGGGAAGCCTAACAAAAACACATTTTGTGATTTGAATTGGACAAATCACAAAATACGTTTTAGGATACTTGAACAACATGAGCCTCCACCTGGAATGAAGTGACTATTTTAAACCAGCTGTGAAAGAGCCCAAGCGGAGGAGGCGTGTGACGCGCCCACCTGTGCCGAGTTGGGTGGCCTGGGGGCTATCCTCCAAAGAAGCTCACTTCCTGGAATCACCTGCACAGACTCAGCATCTGGCCGTGGCATTTCATCAGGGTCTTCAGCACTGGAGCTCTGTGAAGGACAAACAGAGCACTGATGCATTCCAGCACAGTGGATTCAAATTCAGTGCACCTGACATGGAGTCCAGGGTTCATATCTTTCAGGACAGTGGCCAACATAAACATGCAGAAAGAGTCTTCCTGCCCATTGGTGGTTGACGTCTGGTAGGTCACAAAGGAGTATGGCTACTACACATATCAGTAAGTGCTCGAGTCCACCTTTTAATTTTAAAAACATTCTGGAAACCTGTAAAACACTACAGCAGGTATCATGTTCAAAATATGTAATATGGTTAAAATGTTAAGATGCTGCTTCTTTTAGTAAGTTGCAATTGTCTGAGAATTCCCTGAAAGCACACAAAAAAATCTGGATTAGCAAACACCAAATTTAAAGGTTATAGTTCTGAATTTCAAAGCAGGCACTAAAGTGCCTCATCCAGGTACTCATGGGCCCCATGTTTGTTCCATCCATGACAAACATGCACATAATCACACCAGGGCCAGTTCTTCTCAAAAACCAATTAACCCACCAGCCGGTCTCTGGACTGCAGGAAGGCAGAGCACCTGGAGGAAACCTACGAGAACTTGTGCAGAACATGCAAACTCCATGCAAACAGCTCCCTGGGAAGCTAACCCAGGGTCGCAGCCATGCTAACCGCAGCGCCACTGTGCTGCCCTAATGGATGTCATCCTTCACTCAAACCTTCAAGGTCATGGATAGTTTCCAACATGGATTTCCCTTCTGGGAAATCTGACACACGATTTAAGATTTGGGCTACAAAAGGGATTACGGCAATATGTACTATGAAGAAACAACACCATCTGAAAAACACTGAAGATCCATCACAACAATATAATCTGGAAAAAAAATATATTTTTATAGATATCTTCAAATCAGACATTATATAAATAGCTGGAGAAAGCAGCCACATATAAAGAATAGTAATAAACTGCTTGATCATTTTATAGCTGCATATCAACAAGGTAATTTGAAAAATATAATATCAAAGCTATACAGTAGTACTGAATATATGAAAAAAGACTCAACAGAATATATTAAAATAAAATGGGAAAAATAAATCAACACAACAATTTCTATGGATCAATGGAATTATACGTGTAGATTTCAACAAAGCTCTACAAGTTCACAGACTTGGGAATGGGAATTTGACCCATTTTTTTTTTCAGCCCTAAAATTTCAGCCAACCAAAAAGGCAGTAGTTCACAATATTGAAGATTCTGTGGAGAGCAAGATGTGACTCATTCACACATATTTTGGTCATGCCCCAAAATACACCAATACTGGAAATCTGCGTAACTCTTAATAATTTAGTAAATGTGAATATACCATGTTATATACTTGGGCAAGTTCGACTTTGATAATATTGAAGTAAAAGATAGATATATACAATACTAGGGATTCTTCTAGCAGCTAGTAAAAAAAGCAATTACATGAAAATGGCTTATAAAAGACCCTCCAACACATGAACAATGGGTTAAAGTTGATGAGGCCTATATAATGGAAAAAATAACTTTTTCTTTCGGATTGCAGGCAGAGAGGTTAAGCAAATACTGGAAAACATGGATTAAAATTGATCTCCCTACAGGAACCTGATTTTAGTTTAGGAGAAAATATGTAGGCAAATGTTTATTCTGCTATTTTGGTTATGTTTGGTTTGTAAATCCTTTCATTGCTAAATAAAAAGCAAAAAAAACCCTGCAAGATCAGATTTTTTGTGTGCAGCTAAGTTTGCCAGCAGGAAGGGTTATGCCTGAAGATTAATAGTACCTCAAGAACCATCATTAAATAGGAGGGGATGGGGGCTCGGCAGCCTAATTACACTCACACCTGGAAGCACATTCGTCACTGTGCTGTGGGACACGTCCACAGTGTAGGTGCTGGGTACTGGGCAGCTGTGGCAGGGAGAGCCAGGTGCAACCTTAGTCTGGAACACCGGTACAGTGTTACACAGATTCTATATGCAAGTCGCAACTGTCTACTACGTTTGGGGAGGAAAAACATACTGTTCTAGACAGATTCCAAATTAAGACTAACACCTAATTTGCATAGTTCTCCATTCCATCGAAATGGAGGAGAGCTGGTTTAGATAAGGAAAAAAAAGAGAACAACCTCTGTTAACAAAATATGTTCAGAACTTGAATTAAGTAAGACGAGAACTCCTAGTTTACGTCAAGTCTGTATTTCTTTTTTTGTTAATTGCATTGGACAAACTAAGCGTCAAATGTCACATTCATATCATATGAACTATGATGTCGATGTGTTTAGATTTTATACATACTGGTTTACTGCTTTTCTTGTCCTCTGAGCTCTTCTTGTCCGTTTTCTTGTGGGCATCAAATGTTGCTGCGTCGACAGTGTACAGGCATTCAGTCCATTTGCCATATAGTGCACACAGCTTCTTTTTGCTGCAAAAACAGTTGGTAAAACTGTGCCATAAGACTTGACCTCAGTCTTATGCTAAAAGAATAAAGACTTTCATAACTAGTCAAAAATGCATTTGCATTTTCCAAATCATTGCGCCCTTTTTCCATATAAAGCTTATCTTAACAAAATATATTGAGAAGATGTAGTCCAGCATGTGACACTGGTACCATGCAATCTGAATGACCCTTTGTTTCTTAAGAATGCCAGCATATTGCATTCGAAGTGAGGACATGTGGGGCGAATTTAGCACTTTGTGTTAACAAATGGAAAAAAGGTACTTTCATATAAATTTTACAAAGTTTGCCCTTAAAGCCACCTACTGCTAGAGCAGTTAAACTGTCAATGTTAGAAAAGCCACTTTAAAATTTTAATCTTATTTCTTTCAGTTATCTTTTTAGGTTTTCCCTTGCAGCCCAAGTCTCTCGAGCCTACATGATCTAGTCATTTTAACCTTAAACAGCCCTGAGTCTCCAGCGCTGAACAAGAGGAAAGAGTATGAATTAACACGTGTAGAAAACGTGTGCAGAACATTTCATTTTTAGACAGATTGTATGTTTGTGTGCCATTACATACATTTCTTTCCTATACAGTTTGGCCATACTAAATACCTTAGATACTGTATGACATTCCCCTTCTTATTGTCTGAATATGGACTTTGCTACAGAAAACTAAATTAACTCTTGTTCACTGTGTAGTCTTTGGGGCCCTCACATTTTAGGTACTGTACTACGACCAGACAGTAGATGTTTATATTTTTTTAAAATCATATAGAAACAATTATTGCACAAATGGGTCTAAAGAAACACAAGTAAGTGATTTGAAGGAGAAGTAAAAACTTTAGTAAACTGTTGTACAAGCATTAATTCTGTAATATTCCAATGCATGTACAACTATTTACCAAATCTTTGAATCTTTGTAAAACCCTAAATGTTACCTTTTATCTAGAATATAACCTTCAACTTTGTGCAGCTCTTTGCCAAACAGGCCACATGCCTTGAAGGTCAGGCAGCATTTTTCTCCAGTTCTGTAAAAAAAAAAGACTATTCAGTGTCAGTTATTAAAATGAGCACTGTATCCTCTCCATTGTACAAATGTATGTTTTTCCTGGTGGTTTTTAAAAAGTAATTCTGCCCTGGAGTCCACTGGGTCAGGCCTTCCAGTGGTTTGGTGCTGCAGGCCAATCGGTGTAATTCCTTGATTATTTAGTGTGGCTGATAAAATTGCTGTTATGAGTGACAGTTTCAGAAAATGTTTGTCACAGGTGTCTCAGGTGGAGGAGCACATGGCAAAATATGACAAATCCTAGCAATAAGCCTAGGACACAGTCTCCTGTGTGAGAAAACAGATCTTGTTAGTCTCCTTTTCTGTTTCGACAATCACCAAACCTTTAATTCAGGTGAAACTACCCCCATTAAAAAATGACTCCCTTTTATGACTCTTCAAAGAAAACATACTCTTCTGGACCAGAAGGCAACTGAACTTGTCTTTCTTATTTGAACAAGTGTAGGAAAAACATATGTGCTGAACTGAAGAAAAACTACATTGACATGTGAAACGTAATAAACAACACTTTCTTACTTGTGGTTGGTTATTTCCACATTCCCATACTGCTCAATCCACAGTTGTCCCACTATGATGTTGTGGACACAGCAAGTGGGATTTGACCATGTGTAGGCCTCGTTGTACCTATAGGAAAATGTGCAGGCTTTTAAATTTTGCATGACACATTTCTTTGGGATATTTGGGTAATTTAACATTTACAAAACATGCTGTGCTTAATGACTCATTGCCGTTTAAACCAAACAAAGAATCACTCTGGGACAACCCTCTTTATGTACTACACCACTAATTTTGGCATCCTTCATGATCACAGCTCTGCGAGAAGCCTATCATCAGGAGAGCAGGTTACACCTGCTGCAGCTCACAGTCTGTTAGGCTTCTTGGCAGATTCTTAAAACTTTAAATGAGTTAATTGCTTGGCATATCTGCCTTTATTTTATAGATATGGCTCTATAAAAGTGAGACTGCCGAGAAGAAAAAAAGGGGCAAATTAAAAATGAACCTTGGAAATCCTAGTTTTCTGAACATTTTCTCTTACTGCTTGCACAACATAATGGACTGGATGTGACCTAGAGTGCTTTGACTTTGACCACAGCCATAGTGATGTGCGAGTTATTGCTACAAATGTCATTTAATCAGACAAAGAAGTAGGGATAAAACTGCTGGCTCACTTTGGAAGTTCCAGTGTAATAATTCCTTTGGGCTCAGCTTCCACACTTTTCCCCCAGAATTTGAGTTTGGGATAAATAGATCCGTGGAAATTAAAGTCATTCTTCAATCCTTCGGCGTGGAAAGCACTGACGGGAGGATGGTGACTGACCTGCTCCGAGATTAATCTAAAACCCAAGTCCTCTCTGGGGACAAAGAAGAAAAAAAAACGTAAACCGCTTTGATTATCGCAGGTAGGTTTGTTGAAACAACTACAAAAAGAACAATTATGGGAAAATAATTGTTTGACAGACTGGAGAAAATCCTGCAATGGTTTTAGCTACTGTATGCCCTGAAGAAACTGACCAAATGCAAGGAAGACCGGAACCCGACAGTAACTACACAGTACCTACATTTCAATTGTCTGGGAGTCCGAGAAGCGGTGTGTACTTGATCTTGGCTGGTGGACAGTGCAGACTGAAACAAGGGCTCTCGGCACGCTCTGCCTTACCTCACCAGCTCGTACGTTTCCCCCAGGAGTGGATTGAAGGGCTTTCCTGTCCTTTCCCACTGCGAGGCCACAGCAGAAACTGCGAACGCTGCGACAGACTGTCGGGAAAACAGAGCAGCGTGAGCCAGCCACACCTCAGCTTCATGTGCAACAGACACAATCGCAAATCCTTGGCTGCTGTGTAGTACAAGAAAAGTTAGGTCTTTTATGTTCAGTGTATTTAAATAAAATATTGTAGGAACCAGAATGCACACTTTTAATTAAAACATGAATGACAAAATGGACACTGTATCTGTGGAAAGGATGATATTCAGAGGACTCATTACAACAGACACTGAAGAGACAACCTCCCCTGACATGTAACAGCTCCTGACTCAGATGAATAAAGTGTTCAACTGCTTTATTTCCATGAACTACAGAACTTTTAGACATAAAACACTATACTGTAATCCTCATTTTTTCAAATATGGTTTCCAAATTAAAATGCATCTTGAGAAATAACAATGAATTACTTAGACAAGGCAAAAGCACAATACTTTTTAAAATGGTATGGGATGAAAATTAAAGACATTTGAAGATCCTCTTACCCCGTTCCCTGATAAACATGCAACACCAGCAATGGAATGTGTTATATCATTAAATTTTAGTTCATCAGCACTGGCACCTTTTCTGGTTAAATGGCCTTAAAAAACATGATACACCTGTGTCTTTAGTCAGTTGAAGTTAAAATATAATTCTGAGATATTATGAAAGAGAAATAATTTTAACTAACATTTCCCTGTACTCATGACCCAATACACATACATACCTCCATAATACTGTTATCCAGATTCAAATTAGATATAATTTCTTATTAAATTGTATAAACAAGTCCTGAAGGTGATTTAAAATGACCCTATCAGTCTTCATCACTAATGATGTCTATATACTAATGATACATTAGTACACTAAAAGATAGCAGACAGATCACCCTGCAACTCACAACTGACAATCCACTGAAGCTCAGGAGGTGTGAGCCTGGCCAGTACCTAGATGAGAGACCTCCTGGATAAAACAAAGGTTGCTGCAGGAAATGGTGTCAGAGTGGCCAGCAGGGGGCACTCAGCCCTAATGCCCCAGTATAGTGACAGAGAAACTATATTGGAAAAAAGGCTCCGTCCTTCGGATTAGACGTAAAACTGAGGTCCTGACTCTGTGGTCATAAAAAATCCCAGGGTGTTTTGCGAAAAGAGTAGGGGTGTTACCCCGGTGTCGTGGCCAAATTTCCCCCTGGCCTTTACCATTTGTGACCTCATAATAATTTCCGTCTCTGAACTGGCTTCATGGCTCTGCTCTCCTTCCCACTGAGAGATGGTGTGGGGAGCATACTGGGGAGCTGCTCAGGTGGGACAGTGTGGTGTTACAGTACCTTCATCCTCTCGATGGAGTCCGGGCTGGCGTTTGCCTTGTGGATGAGGTATGTGTGCTCCATGTACTCCGTGAGGCGCTGCAGGAAGCTCAGAGGCTCGTTGAAGATGACAGGCATGGTGATCTTGGAGAGCTCCTGTGGGAAGAGCAGGGCAGGGCCCTGGTCAACCCCTTGCCCAGCGAGACCGAGGGCTTGCAGCCACCCCACCAGTGGAAAATGTGACATGCCGCACGCTCATGCAGGCTCACCGCAACTCCTTCACATCAACAAAGACTGCCTCATGACCAGAAAACAACTACTCTTTCTGTCCCAGAGTAACGGATTTATTTCTGAAATTTATAAAAGCACAAATCAATGATGGAAATAAAGAGCTACCACACATCTCTGGTGAGAAAAGGATAGATTTAAGCAACAGGATGACCAGAGGTCTCTCCCACTGCTCAAGGTCCCCACAGTGTCCAAGAAGGGCTCCCATCCACTGAAGGACATGGTGAGCATCTGCAAGTACTGCAGCTGCTGAAAGCTCCCCAGGTTACCATGGGAACTGTGCTCTCATGGCTCCTTTTGTAACTCTAACAAACTTTAGGTGCTCCAGGCTGCACAGCATCTGCAAATAATTCTGAGCCATGTTGCTGAAACCCATACCTTTCCTCTGTTCTTGAAATCGTTCCAAGATACAAACTAGATCAGCAAATGAGCCTTCTCTCATCCACCAGTTTATGCGTCTTATGCAGCCTATATACAAACACACAAACCTTATACCCTGTATACAAGCTCAAGGTCGCTGGGAAACTTGCTATAGGAAGAACAAGTGGCTTTCTGATCATGGAAGGATGGATCACTTCCGCTTTCTGAGATGGACACCGCCTACATGCTAATGTGTTTCCTAAACAAATGCCAGCAAGGATCACCAAGGCTCTCACCACAATCTGATTAAATCACACAAAAAGTTTCTTTCCAGGCAAATTCCAAGATATCTGAGATTTCGGAGTGCAGTTGCATATTGACAAAGACAACTGTTATGTCACTGTTTATGGGTTAAAGTCTGCTCACAGAATTGGTCTTGGACATATGCAGATAAAAATAGAAGGGGATTTGAAACCAGTATTTCACAGATCCTCCTGTGTTATCACTGACTTATTATATAACCATCACCTGGACTAAGCTTTTGCATCTATTTTTGCACATTTAAAACAAAATAAAACAATTTTAGCCTCACCACAAAACCTTCCCTATGGGCCTTGATAGCCTGAAAAGTGACCTACCTACTGTACCACAACAAAACCTGACAAGGAAGACAGAAGTAAAATCTGTATGTTTGCGAGTTCTACGTTTGCGATTTGGCAAAGGCCATTCTAAGGTGTTTTACAACATCCTTGATAATTCTATTAGCGCGAGAGCTCATTCCCGACTTTGGACCTGGAGTCTGGAACATCTGCATCTTCAAGTTTCATACTCCTTTAAACCTGCTCTAATAACAGAATTACTCTGAACATTGTTTCCAGCTCCAAAATATGTTGAATGCTGCCTTTTCTTTTTTAGCATTTGCAAAATATTATGCTTTTCACATCTCCAGTTTATGAGTAAGAAAAAAAGCTTGTTGTGGTTACAGTCAAGCAACTTGTTTCAACTAAAGAATCAATTAAGTACGGAGTTTGGCTGGAATGAACACCAGTAGGTGTTGGCGTCCCCAAACAAGGGCTGGGAACAACTGCAACAGAGAACTGCCCTTCAGCATGGTAAGAAAATAAAGCATGAGATTTCTTTGATATGCATGAATAAAATCTGTAAAGTTTTATGAATGAGAGGCAGCATGGTTACAGAAATGTGCAATGTGGAAAGCATGTGATATTTTGTTCCAGAGTCGCCTGTGATCCCCCTGCTCCCTGAAAGCCACCCTTTTCTTTCTAGAATGGCTGTTTGAAACATTTTTATTCCCACCTCTTCAGCTAGAATTCAAACAAAACAAAACAATTTAATCTAAATTTGGATGACAGACAGGCAGCTTAAACTGTGCTGCAACACAGTCCCCTCGATCACTGATTACCAGAGAGCTGCTCCTCCAGGCGGGGTCAGGCGCGGACCAAGGCCGGACTGAGAGCCCCTCCTCCCGGAGGGAAGGCACGTTCAATGCAGGGCCACAGAGGACGGGTCAATTACGAGCAGCCAGTCAGATCTGCCCAGCACATCCTTGGAAGGCGGGAGGAAACTGGAGCACCCACAGAAAACCAACGCGACCGTGGGGAACAAGCCCACTCCCCACAGATATATGAAGAAAGAATTGAGCCCTAAGGCAGCACCCACTAGCCAACCTGCCAACATGTGCAATATTAGTTATTACTTCTGAGAGAAATTCCTGCTGTTGAAGTAATCAACCGCAGAACCTCAAGCTCATTCTTCATACAGGCAAACCTTCACATATGGCGCAATTCAGAAATTAAAGACAGAGAAAGAAGAGATTTCTTTAACTTTAAGACTATGTTAGGAATCATTTTTAGAATCATGTCATTATAAACAAAGCAGGTGCCACTGCGGTTAAGATGAGGGAAAAAAGGATCAGCGTACCATTCCGATGCACTTTCTCAGGATACTCCAGATACTGAAGTCGTTCCGTGAGAACATGGGGGCAGGTAAACTCGTTCTAAAACAGAAACATACAAGAATTATGATGTGCCATCTCTGGGCTTTATTTCAAATCCGATAATGTGCAGAGTAAGTGCTGATACTTCGGACCAGGTCACTGCAGGATACAGCAAAGTGCTGCTTTTACTCCAATACAATCGCAGTGTAGTCTTGATGCATCATTTGAATAGCCCTGAAAACAAAAAACGTATTAAAAAAACAAACTGGTTGCTTTCTATATTGAAACACATTTTAAAATAAAAAGACACAGACTGCACTCTTTTCTCTGAACAGGTCTCTTAAGATATTTCACATCACGAAACTGGTGGCACATTTGGTCCCATTTTTATTTTATTTTTGTCCGTTTCAACTTCAGGACAATTCAGTTCACCCCGTTTAAGTACAATTTCATACAACACTCCACCAACACACTGCATTATTGGCTATCATGCATCCCTGTATATGCAGTGGTTTGTAGACTTTCTGTAGTGTCAGGTTCAAAATGGAAATCTTTCACGTTTCTAAAATAAAAGTTTCAATCTTGCAAAAAATAGCAACAATAATTTGGTTTATTTCTAACAAATATCAGATAGGCTAAACTATATAAACTGGCATGTCTGTATTCGATGCTCGCTCTGCTAAACTTGGCAATGTAACCTTTTATACGTTTTCAGTCAGTCAGCACAATCGCTCCAAATCTATTTTTATCATCTTTAAGTATGTGATATTTATGATGGATACAAGATTGACTGGTGTAAACGTTGCAGTATGAATCACAAAATGAAGTGTCATTTTACAAAAGTATCCAGTGTGATTCTCTGTCTAACACAGCCATCTGTAAAGAAGAAATTAATAAAATAATAATTTTAGGGCTAGTCCACTGAAATGCTGTTTGGGACATATTTAATGCTTCTTAAATTCCTAACCATAGGCTAATTAATGTAGGTAATCCTTACAGGCTATTGGACACTGTGTAAGAGATTCTGTGCGGGAACCCAGCACCTCTCTGGAAACATACTTTCATGCATGTTTTGGTGGTGCACAGAGGTCATTTTTGGGTTCACCTGATATGCATTCTGTCCAGAATGAATTGAAGAAACATACCACTGGATCTTGCTGTGGGGCTAGGTAATGAGGTAATTTCAACTAAAGCATTGTCGACAGAATGTTTGGCTCACCGGTTTTAGTGCGGCAAAAAAGTCAAAAGCACACAGCTCCTCATAGCTTGCCGATATGGCAATGGCTGTCGTACCTCAGGAACATAGAGAACTTTGCATTGGCAGGAGAAACAACGCTAGCGATGGCCCACTGGAGATCTGGAGGGCAGCTACAACTAGAAGAAATGAGAAACTGATGGGGGTCCGATTATTGTGCAAAGGGAGGGAAATAATTAAATTTCTTATCTTTTTGTTTATCTTGTTACTTTCCGGTCCTGTGTTTGTTGACACTAAAATAAAATTTGATCTAAAAGAAGCACCTACAGTAAATTTAATAAAAGAGGTAGGGCCCACGGTAATTCCAGAAGCACTGAGCTCAACCTTTGTTAAAACAGACTCTAAATTGAAGGTCACAAATCTGCCATTTAAAATGACAAATGACAAATGACTGTACTTACCCAGCTCAGGACAAGTTGCGGTCTGAGACTGGGTTTTATGAAAGATTTCAACATGCCTTTAAGTCTGTTAAAATGTAAGACCAGGCTTTCTAATTAAATATTGAAGGAAAGTCTTTTTCTAATGGAAGAGGGCTTGCTCCTATTCTACTCACATTCTCCCACTTAATGGTTTTCCCTCCATTAACTCATTACAGTGTTTCACTACAGACAGTAAATTCTAAAATAATAACTGCAATTGTTTGGTCCCAGAAATAGTAAACCACTCTTTGGGTCTTGGGTTTGTGTTCAGATAGAAGCTACGAAAAATAAAAGGCTTGCGAATCTAGTCTTTACTTTTGAAAATAACTAAATTTAAGACCATTGAATGGACCAGATTAATGGTCTAATTGCAAACAGGAAAACACCAATTTCCTCAAGGCCTTAAATCAACTGCTATATTATTCATTTCCATTCTTGGTCTGTGTCTGCTGAAAGCTTTGCACAAGGCACAAGATGAAATCCTATACTGGCAAAAATACATCAATCATTTGAACTAGAAATTGTCTTCAAATTGCTCCCATGGAGAAAGACCTCTATACTACACTAGACTCCTCCAAAGCCTTTGATTTTATGCATGAACAGTAGATACAGGCCTGCTTGATTGTGCTTGTACAATCTCCTTTACAGCTTGTAAGCTGAAAACAGCAGCAGGGACAGGTGTTTACTTTTGGCTAATTTCTGCAGGCACAGCAGAGCTACTGCTTATTCAAACAAATCCAGCAGCTGGATAGCAGTTACTGGTGTTACTCATGTTTGTGGCAATTCTTTACTTTCCTATCAAGCAAGAACTAATAGTGGTGTTAGCTGTTAGGCAAACCAGCTGCCAAATTTTCTAAGAATTTTGACCAACTTGCACATGTGAAATATTAACCACATTGTATACTAATAGAATAACAAATTTAAGAATGAAATGAAAGTGAGAGCATTAAGATTTTACCTCACAATGCTATTCAACAATCCAAAATAATGTCTACTGTATATGCTTTTGTCCTTACATTTTCCTGTCACTGATATGACTTGGGAAAATAAAACAGTTATACTGCAGAGTGTGAGAAGTAAAATTTGTGTTTGACTTTCGAAATGTTTTTCTTGGTATTTAAGGCAGAAAAAGCTCAGTGAAGTGTTTATGGAGGTGCTCCTAATCTGGAAGGGGTTAGGTATTTCAGTACACACTAAGCTCACCTTGACACAACAGATAATAAGAGATACTGTATCTAACTGTAGCAGCCTACAGTAGCTAGACATCTATTAATGTCTAATAAACCTAAAACATAAGAACATTAGTCAAGTAATGTTTGTTAAAAATATTCAAAGCATTTTAATTTAAAACATCCCTGAACATCTGTGCATGGAAAACAAATGTAGATGAGGAACCTTTGTAATGCATTCATGATTACTAGGAAATGTTAATTTACATACTGATACAGTTACTCAGATGTATAATGAATGGAAGCACAAAACATTTTTATAGAATAAAACATCTTTCAAGTGTTACTAAAACTGTGTCCTTGAGCAATCAATTTACTATAGTTAACAAAAGCTAAAGTTAAATATATGTCGATGACACTACAAGCCAGAAGATGCAGTCTTGGACTATGGTGTCACCCTCCTTTCACTGTGTCTCTATGACGGAGAAGAAAATAGCTGTTCTAAGGAATGAGAATTATTCAAAATTTGAAGCAAAGAAAAACTAAGCCGTTGGTTATATAAATGAGGCATCAATCAGAATGATACTGTAACACTGAAGATTCTTAAACACTATGGTTAGGTTCAAGGCCAGTAGTTCATGCTTTTGCCATATACAGTACCTCGTAAGCTCTAGCTAGTTCTTCATTCATTTTGAACAACAAGAGTGTTTTTCTATTCAAGGCAACCACAGAAGAGCCCCGTCCTTCTAATCCATTTGTTATCCTTACTCTATACATTTAGGGGATATTTTCCAACTGTAGTGGGTGTGGCTTTGCAAGCATTAACTAGGGCTGGTTAGCTTGCATTTTGCCATGGAAAGACAGCAATTCACATTGTAGCATTTTACGTGAGTCACAATACTAAATGCTAGGAGGTATTGAAATCTGAGTGCCGAGGCACTGCCAGCAGGAAAAGAGAATTCTCTGGCCGGACCATCGCGTGTCCTCTAAAAAGATGCAAAATGTGGTTATAAACTGGTTGAAAATTCTTATTTTTAATAGGTGCTAAACAGAGTCCAGGATAAACCCACATCATGATGATAACTTAGATAATATTACTATGATTATGAATGCAAAAGGTGGCCAGAATATTAATGCATTCATAACTCCTCCGTGGGTTACATGTCTTTAATTCCTGATGCGTAAGTAGATATTTAAAAAGCTCAGTGCCAACCTGAGAAGCAACAGTGAAGCACGAACTAGAGTGCTCAAGGGAAAGCTGTGTGGAAGTGCATTTACAACACACAGCAGGAGGCACTGCTTTACTAAGAGGGCAGTAGGAGCATGGTACAAGGTGTCAAGCATTATTGTTGAAGCAGATACCCTGGTGTCCTTTACAAACTCAATATAGATTCTTGGATAAATTACTGAAAAGACAGCTAGATGGACCAACCTGCTTCTTTTCATTCAAAACTGATCTTAGATTCTTGAGATGCAGCACTGAAGATGGAGGTTTTAAGCTATTACATGTACTCAGTGTTTCACAGATTTACTGTGACTTTCCTGTTTCTTTCCAAGAACTACCAACTCTGTAAGTTCCTAGTTATTTCTTAAGATCAGGAAATGCTACCAACTGCTTGCAATTCCTCAAAAGAAGCGTCATAAGTCAGCTAATTTCAGAAGCTTCCTCCCCTGAGCTCCTCCCTTATGAAGCTCTATTCAAATTACCAGGAAAGTGTCTTCTGTCATGTCATGCCACACACATGTCAGTTGTGTAACCACCTTATAGCTGGGGTGCATCATGGTCTCTAGTTCATTCCCTTGCTTTTAAAATGTGCACAAGACTCAGGGGGGCTTCAACAAGATAGACAATCAATAGGAATCAATCAATCAATTTAAACCACTTTTAAACCCTGGGTTCCCGAACCCGGCCTAGAGGAGACCTGGTGCAGTCCAGCAGGTTTGCATTCCAGAACATCTTAATATGACTGAACGAACTGTTAGCTAAGTGAGAGAAAGTCACACAGATTTTCCCAGCTGTTGATTTCATGAGTCCTATAAAACCTGAAGATATTGTTACAAATTATAAAAGGTTTAAAGCTGTGAGTATCAGCATGCATTTTGGCGAAAAGCAAACAAAAAATTAAAAACTTGCCCTAAATAGTAAACACTACTTGCCCTAAACAGAATGCACATTTACCATCAGTCATCACAAGGTCTCTCTGAAGTACCAGAATTACTGCATTACACTGCAAGCTTATTAATGATTTATGTGTCCTACATACGGCTTGTTCTCTCTCTTTTTTTTTTGTAGGCCCTGCTATCTTCAACCTCACACAAGCAGTTACTCTAAATTACTTATAGACCACCTGACATTTTCACAAACAAAAAAAAAAGAATGACCACAACTAACATAGCAAAGAAATTATCAGAAAAATCTGAATTGCTGTACTGTAGCTTAAAAGGATTTCCACATGGACAATGGAAACAGTACAGTAAACTGTTTCCAAGGACACTGATGCTAGAGAGCGATATCTATTACACTTCATTAAATTGCGGTAGCAGGCAATGGAATATTTCTTTTCTATTGCTCAAGTGTTGTATTTAACTTTTCAAAACCTGCAGAGACTCTTAACGAACTTCATATATCTGAAATAAAAACACAACCTCCACACTTGTAGCAAAGCTAATTTGTAGTAGTGTATTATTTGCACAAAACCAAGAAAATACAAGCTCTTAAAAATGCTGTGGAGTCCAGAGAATCTCATGATTTTTTTCCCCCAGTGGTCATAATAGAGAACCAAAAAAAAAACTTTTAATTACAGGTCAGTTTAAGCTTCCATGAGCAGAAAGCTCCACGTCTGGAGATGTTAACACCTGTTGCCTTACCTGTGTTTCTTGATCCCATTGGACTGGGGCCCCTGGTTGTCAGGGCTGTTTTCCTCCGACATGCTGACCGGACTGCTGCGGTTACTGCTGAACTGGATGGTCTCTTCGTCGAAGGAATAGCTCGCTACAGTTTCAAATCCACTCAAAGAGCACTCCGAGTCTGAATCTGCATTAGAGGAGCAGAAGGAAACATGTTAATGGAGAGACTCTGCTGGCTGTTAAATCACCCATTCAACAACTGACACCTTCCACGCTGTGGAGGACTTGGAAACCTGAGCAGGGTATATTGTTCCATTTGTAGGCTGTGCCTGGTAACATCCTTGAACAATATTTGCCCATCCACTGAGACTGCACTCTTTCAAAAACAACGGTGAATGATTTATCAAGATGAGAACAAAATGAATACAAAGTTAGAAATCCATTACATAATCAAAAGATGATTAAGGTGCAGAAACTCTTATTTGAAATGAAACGCAGATGTCTCCAGATGAAGAGTTTTGAGATAATAGGATAAAGCATGTATCCTGAAACCACAATGAACTTGGGTAGTGAAAGGCAAAAATGTTAAGATGTCTAGTGTTCACCAATGCCTTAGACACTACAATCCAAAAGGTCAAAAATGGATGGCCACTTCATAACTATACCTGATCTCAAATTGTTTTACAAGGGAAATAATACATCAATATATACCACTGAAAAAAAGTTATAAATCCCCTAAATATATTTACTATGTTTTGACTATTCCCTCTACATACAAAAACAAACCATTAAATGCACAGGATTTACATAGCAGTTACACTGTTTTATTGAAAGAAACCTGCCATAGGGAATTCCAGTGACACAATCGCTATGCAAACAGGACGCATTTTAAAGTGAATGTGCTCGTTAGGCAGTGGGTGTAGAATAGGGATCCAGACGTACTGTCAAACTAAAACAAATTATTTCAAGGTAGATTTCAGAAGTCAATTTCACATCAAGTCTAGGTTTGAAAGTTTTTAAATTGTTGTAGAGACACTGGATTCTGTTAATTTACCACTGTGTTTTTTGTTTGAATAAAAGAAACATGAATACAAATAGTATGCAATTCGCAATTTTCAAAAAGTTTCTGCATTAGGGCTTTGGACTCTGAGGGCGATGTTACTAATCGATGTAGAAAAAAAGACACAGTGAATTTTTGCAGCTGAACCAGCAGATCACAGACAAATACTGTAGCTCTTTGTTACTTGTGAAAGTTGATGAGAAACATCATTTCTAAAGAATAATAAAGGGAGTGAAAGTCACATTTTTTTTAATTGAAAAAATACTGCCTCTACAGCCAAACTGATGCAGACAGAAAACAGCAAATAGCAACACATTTCAGAAACATCTTCATCTCTGCTGAATCCTGTATATAATCACACTAGTTGTTGTGGTCAAATTACATCTTGTTCATAATAATGAAGTTTAGGGACAATAAGAAGACAGCTAGTTAGTTCACAGGCCCGTACAGTAATCCAGCTGTGTGGAGGGGGTGAGGGGTTACCACCTGGCCTAAGCTTTTTTCTGCAGGAATCCCTGGTACTGTATTCTTTTTGTGTAATTTTGTTTGCTGTGAGAGAGAAGCTACTATTGTGGAAATTCAGCACATTTTGGCAAAATAGTTGCAAAGCCTTTTAATGCTACTGTGATGTCATTAACCTTTTCATAACCCAAATTTCAAACCTTTAGCAGGTCGATACTGCAGCCTCTTCTAAAGCCACTTATTAAACAATCATCCCTTTACTCTAGCATTATCATTAATGCTAAATACTAAAGGATATGATGTAATCACAAGCGTATTTTAGTCAATAGTATCATACTTACTGTGGCAATAAACGATCACCAGGAACATGTATATTATGCGTCAACAAAAAGGTTTTGCTTTGTTTAAGCAAATAAAAAACACTGAAATCAGAAAAGAGTGTGATAGCATACAGTAGATCCTTTACTAACTACAGATAAATTGACGTTTTGATCATTTTTAGTTTTGCTTTTGTTTAAATCAGTGGTAGAAATGCTCTTTTGACACCTGAAGAAGGCTCAATGGCCGATTTTTTTTCAGCATGGAATAAACCTATTACTTGTTCCTTTCTCAGCTGGCTTGTTGCAGGAATTGGCCTGACATTTATTAAGATTTGTGCATCTTGAAACGGTCGACTTTTTTCAGGGGAATATCAGCACAGACTAATGTCTCTGTCAAATAATGAATGAAGATGTGTTCCAAGTTGTCCTTCCCCTTGCATTAATTGAAGACACTCTCACTAGTGTCAATGGGTTTTTGTGATTTTAGTGCCAGTGAGATGAGTGTGGTCCCACACTTGCATAAAATATTTAGAAAGTTGCAGGTTTTGCAAAATCAGTTATACTGTATTTGCTGGTGTACGGGACACCAGCTGGCTATGGCTGCACTCATTAACCTAATGAAGTGTTTTTTCTCCGTGTAGTGTGTACTCTATGTCCATTTGTAAATTTCTATGCACATTTATTATTTTGTAACAAATAAATGATTGATAATAATAACTGATTAAGTTTTACCCCAAAAAACTATTTTTTTTTATTGTAAATCTAATCACAGTTCCTATGGAGATTAGCTGGGGATTGCCGACATTACATTGCCTACAAGGAGGCACAGAACTCTAGGTTAGGAGCCCTAGACCTCAAATAAAACTCCAGGCACTACCCATGAGCCAAGCAAATGTGCTCTTCTATTGTTTTTCTTAGCTTTAAGTGTGCTTCAATGCTGGCTTTTCTGCCCAGTATGTTTGGGGAATTATGGTTACATACTGGTGGTGGAAAGGCGATAGCAAAGGCAGTGGAGCAGTAATTATCCAGGATTTTTTTTAATCTATAAATAGCTTTATGAGATTCTAAGATACATCTTAACATTGGTCTTTCTTGAAAGATGTGTCAGTGTCAAGTCAATTTTCTCTAGAATCAGGAAAAAGCCAATGACAATAATGAGGATGTGTTTCCCAAAAGTAATTTACTACTTAACTGAAGCTACAGTGTCTTACAATGTGACCCTAGTCTTGTTACTTATCTGAAAGAGAGTATGTCTTGTATGAAGGTCATTGAGGTCCAGTAACTTGCACAGTGGTACACCTGGGGCAAAACTTGGTAAACTCCATGCAAATTAATAGGGAGGTTGGACTAAGGTAAAGAATTGATGATACTGCTGCAGATCAGATGGGCAGAGTTAGTTTAAAGGGGATTTTTTTCTGAAATGCATTTACTGTCCTTTGTTGAATAAATACATCCTTTCCTAAGTTTAGGCTTTAAGTCCTCTATATTATGACTGTAATAACCAGTCAGGACCTTATAATACTTTAATTAAAAAAGCAGTCCCTTCTACCTTTTCCTAATAGCAATCATCTCAATTTCATAATGGGCAGATTTAGAAAATGCACTGGTTGGAATGAATAGAGGCCTCTTCTCTTATTATGCACCTTTAAATTCATATTATGGCTTGCATATACAGTATGTATGGGTTTTATGTATTCCTAATGTTAAAAAAATGTATTTCCTTAATTAAAATTAAATAATTGCTATACTACAGTCATAATACTACAACCATAGCACCGAGACAGTACCATCTTAAAGGCTTAGACTCCAGAGTCTTAAAAGATTAACAATATAACAACCCCTTCTTAGTCACCTCACCTGCCCTTACAGTGGAATCATTATGCAAACTGATGGCCTGTTTTATTACTTTACATGTATCAACTGTATATAAGGTAATGCAATTGATTTTACCTAAAGATGACAATGGTTCAAAGCAACTCTTGATCAAAGGTTAAAAAAAATAAAAGAAAAAAAGATCAAAGAACCTGAACAGTTATTCAGTTCAGTGCTTTCTGGGATTTCCTCCTGAAAGTAGGCTAATTGATTCTTGCTCATCAGGGCAGATTTCATATGTTCAGCTGAAATTCAGACAAATAAAAACTGATGTCCTTTTAATTTAAAAATTGTTTCTAATATTTACAGAAATACTATAACTAGTGACTGGGATGGACTGATATTCAACTAAAATATTAAAATCCATTTTAGAACACCTTTTGTCTTTCAGTCTTTTTAGCCAGTTTTACCATGCTGTAAATTCATAGACCATTTTAAAAATCTTCAGAATACTGTTATCAGTTGTAACTACCAAAACACAAACATATGTTTGGAAAGTTTAGTTTAAAAACAAAATGGCTGTAACCTAATTCTCAGTCCCCTGATAGGGATGTCCTTTCACACAGACTACAGTAGATGCAGGCTTGTGTGTTCAAAGCAGTCTCAGTCAATGGAGTACTTCTCTTCCTGGTATGGTTAGAAGCAAAGTAACGTAACCCAAATGCACTGAATGAGTTTCCATGTGACCCTGGATTACTTCTCAAATTACACCAGAGCTACAAACAACAAGGAAACTATAAACATAGCAGCTGTTGATAATCATAAAGACTAGTCTGAATTTTAATATTTGCATTTTATTACCATTACTAGGTTGGCCATAACTAATTTTTATTTTGTCATCGAACAATGCAAGCATGGAACATTAGCATATAACTGTAAACTGTTTAGAAAATATCTTTAGAGCCCAAAGTCTGCTCTACAGGATCAAATCCTCTTGTAACATTGTAGTTTCTAAGAACTGTTATATAATCACATTTTCTAGATAGCATTTCTGGGGTCTTGACCAATTGAGAATTTATAGTAGACGAAGATGGATTACCATGATGGTATAAAAACAAACTAATTTTTAAGAACACAAGACAGATGAGGGGAGGCCTGTACAGTAGGTCTATTTTAATTGCTAGCATATTAATTAAGGATCTGAGGATCCCAGAGGTTTCTTGAAAGGTTGCAGGATACAGGGCTGTGTGAAGACGAACTGTCTCTCACCAGAAACAGCGTCGTAGAACTCATCCTCACTGAGTGCCGTCCGTGGAGGAGATCCCTTAGCGACGGACTGCTCTAGCTCGTGGTGCTCAGTGGCCAGAGTCTGCAGGGCTTCCGAAAGAATCTTGGTCTTCTCTTGCTCCTGCTCCAACCTCAAGTTCTGCACCTACAACAAATCACAGAGGCGGTTAACTGCATGTTAACCTGACGGTATCCTGCTAGTTCACAAATACCATCGTTCATTGTTTCAATTAATCAAATGAAAGCAAACGTCCATACATCTGTTAAGGACAAAAAATCTCACTTAAACAGTTTTCATTCATAGCTATACTGCATGCATATATTCAAGGTCAGAACCTAATTTTATTATTATCATCACAGGATATTTCCTATACATCAAGGTCAATATGTTGTACAACAGACTATAGTCTAATAAATTTAAAGTGTGCAAACATCATTTGTGTTGCCATCATGACCAACTTTCATTTTAAAAGGATGTATTTTTGCTACATTAATTGTAAGAGTGGTAAAAACGTGGGAGAGTTCTGGGACATCCCAGTATTTATATTTCTGACAGTGCGAAGGTGGTCTGCTTGAGCCGGCATGTGCAAACTCATGGCCTCCAAAGGAGGCAGATCATTGTTCCAACAGGCTCTCGGCTCAGGTTTCTCCCGCCTGGAACACAACCACCTGTCTGAAAGAGCAGCCCAGTCCTGCGATCAGCCTAACCGCAGGATTGGATATCAGGGTGGGCAACATGAGCTCTGCTGTTCTTCCTGTGACATATCATCTTTCAGAAAAGCATGTACCCATTGTCTGATGCTGCTCCTCGAAATGTCCACAAAACCAAAAAAGACATCTAGAATGTGCTGCTCCCCAATGGTTTCAAACTGTTACTTCCCACCTTATCATTATACGTTTCTACAACTTGAGTTCTGTGAAAGACGTTTTAGAGGTAAATAGACTAATATACTGTAATAACTTTGGCTATCACAGCAGTGGTTTAAAGTACGTAAGTACAGTTACAAATGAGAAGCAGCCATTCAGCTCATGCAGAACATTGATAAACTTGAATTTACTCTCATAAGCAATTAGGTTAGTAGATATAGTTATTGTTTTTAAAAACCAAAAATGCAATTCTGCTGTATCTTAATTTATTCGTTCCTGCAGAATCACAGAATTAATAAAAAACTTTTTTACACAGGAGTATTAAATTTTATTAAACTAACAGTAGCAGAGCACTTACTGTACATTAAATTTGAAAGAAATCCTTATGGATTCACACTTAAATTAATTTGTGGCGAAACTGTATTGGGACGTTCTGCTACGGCATTATAATAAGGACTTCTGATGTTAATATATACCCTTTTGCAATATCTTATTAATGAAATGGGTATAAATTGAAAGCCCTGAAATACAATCGACATACTGTACTGTACTTAAAGTAAGATTTTTTGCCCTTCACTGTGCTCTCTGACACTTGACTTCCGGACTGCCCAGGCCTGGTGGCAGGTACTGTAGTCTTCACATGTCACCGGCCTGTGCACATCCCTCCATTTCCGAACTGGCTCTTCCATGTCAAGGTCACGGGGGTGCCAGAGCCTCTCTCGGCCAGAATGGGCACAAAGCAGGAGGCACCCTGGACAAGTTGCCAGTCCACCGCAGACCACAAACAAACTCGCACACATACCTAGGAGCAATTCTCCCAGAAGATAATTAACCTACCCCTATGTCTTTGGACTGTGGGAAGAATCCAAAGCACCCAGTGGAAGCCCACACGAACACATGGAGAACATACAAAATCCACTCAGACACCCCAGGAATTGAACCCAGGACCGAGGCAGCAATGCTAACCACCGTGCCACAGTGCTGCCCAAACTAAATACAAAGTTTTTTAAAATCTAATCAATAGACTAAACACATTTAAGTTAATATCGCAACACTTATATATTACCAAACATGTTAAAAAATGTAAGCTCTGGAAAAAAATCTAAACCCGATTTGTACAGAAGAGTGGTTTGTAAGGCACCTTGGAAAAGGATCCGGGAACTCTGAATAAACCTGAGAGTCCTTTGGAAGGACAACGTGCCTTTAGGTAGGGCATAGCGGAAGAGGACGGAGCCTTTTTACAGCTCCACTATACAGGGGTATTAGGACCCACACAGAGAGAGCACCACCTGCTGGCCTCTCCAACACTTCTTACAGCAGCAACCTTAGTTTTTAGCAAGTTAAGGCATCACCTTGCTTTTAGTTTCACCCAACATCATATATTATAAATTTAAACACTGTAATTAGAGTTGTAACCATAACTCAGACTCAGCAGCAGCATTTCACCTGGATGTTTTTATTAAAAATTTAAGCTATAGCAACTCATGTTTTACTCCTTGAAAAAAATAAACCCGGACACATATCGGAAATCCTGGACATACAATTCAAGATATCTGAATAAATATTTTTAGCAGTTTTATTAGCAGTGTGCAAAGTAGGACCCTGTTGCTGTTTTTTCTCTGTGTGTGTGTGCGCGCGCCTGAGCGTGCCCTGTGATGGAGTGGCGTCCAGTACAGGGTGTACCCAGCTCTGGCTGTTCAGCGAATCTGAACTGTAAGAAGCGGTTGGAAAAGAGAAAGGTGCCTGAGTCGAGGGTTCCCCAGGAGAGCCACAGCCGTGTGGAGGACTTACAGCTGTAAGTGAAGAGCTGAGGAACGATGTACTACATCGCCAAGTGAGTCACTAACGAGTTCCCCCAGATTTCGTAAAGAGGTGCTGGAGTGAAAACCTGTCTAACTGAGGCCCTGGGCAGGGTTTGGCATCGCTGATCTAGATCATTGTTCCGGGACACCAGTCACTTCCAGAATTATTTCAACTCTGATATACACTTCCTTCAGCTACATGTATTGGTTCTCCACCTCCCATTTGAGGATTTTGTTAACATGCTGCAAAATACCTCAGGCGGACATCAAATTCACACCAAATCAATTGACTTGCACATTTAAGCACAATTTTGATCACAAAGACAAAGACCTCTCACTGATTTTTTTTTATTTCACAAAGAACTTTTAAAGGAATGGTTCATATGAATAAGAACGGGAACTGGAGGAAGTGAACAGTGATTTTTTTTTTAGCATTAACATTGCTGTTAAACAAGTTCAGCCCTGGAATATATTGTACCATTCCAGGAAACAATACAGAGAATTTGAACTACAAAGAGATCAGTATCAATATTAACAGCTAATTTTAAACCACTGCAGCATTTGGAAAAGGGATATCAAAGACTGTAAACTACATAAATCAAAATGGAATATTAGGTACTGGGAAAGCAGAAAAATAGTGTTTGTACTTAATTTGTCAGTCTAGCCCATTTTCTCACAAGGCATTTACCAGTGAGTCTCAGCTTGCTGAAATAATTTGTCATTCAATTAAGCCACTAGATACCTGATGGACATGTATTTTGGCACCATGAACTATTTAGTAGTTAAAATTAATCCAGCAAAATTTAATCTTGTGCCTTTCGATTCACAGGCTTTCAAACTGAAAGATCTCCTATACAGATGACAAAGCACACACCTCTGAGCATGAATGTCTCAGTGAGAACATTTATAAAAGAGACAGAAATGTTCAACAAAACATTTTGAAGGAAAGCATAATTGAATTCCTGTTATTACTGTACATCAAGCAAGAGTGATTAAATTGCAGCCACAAATTCCAAGCTATTTCACAACAAGCCTTTGCATCAGAGGGTAAAGGTAAGACGAGAAGTTAATCGTTTTCTTTTTATATCTTATCATAGTATTTTAAAGGGATCAATAAGCAAGGTCGTCCAGATCTATTATATACAGTATTACATGAGCAAAAAAAGTTTGCCACCCAGAACAAGACTACTGAAACACAAACATCACTCAAACCCAAGTGAACAATGAACTCTTGCTCTTCATGTTAACAGATAAAACACAAATAAGAACTATCATTGCATCAGAAGTGTCAGTAACACGTCTTTGACATTAAAATGTTTCATTTTCCACAGCTAAAAAAAATTGCCCTTTAAGAAATTGCACTGAAGAGTTTCGTCATGGCACAGGATGAAAAACAATCCATTTACAGTACACATATACATTTGTACTTACATTAAAGGTCTGATCCATACGTTTTCAAATGATGGGAGTAATCCCAACTTTTCTCACAGGACACTGATGATAACAGACGACTCAGTGATCATCAGTGTGCATCAAGGGAAGATCGGAACAACACTTCATGCCACAACCCCCAGCAGCAGCTTCACTTCCAGCCAAAAAGATTTTTTAGTTTTGCTGCGTCAGGCACCTATAAATGACCTCTCCACAGTGATCAATGAAATAATTCAGGACGATTCTCTCTCTCTTACTCTTCTCTCTCATAGGAACCAACCAACATACTGCTTTCAGTCTATCCTACTTAGAGATGTTTCTAAAATAGCCTGAGAGACAGAGTTTCTTCTAATGCACGTGCTCCCTGACATCACCTGAAAAGCCAATGACCGTGATTGAACTATTATAATAGCAAGCTGAGTCTGACGCTTTCCTCCTCATGTTTAACATCACTTTAATTACACCAAGACAGCAGTAAGGTCGATCCGTCCGGCTCCAAGCGGCTCCTGCAGGAGGCCAAACAAGGATGAAAGCTAGCGGAGGGCTGTGAGAGTCGGGAACGAGCTGCCCAGGCATGTGTTCAAAACCGATTCCCTGGCTTCTCTTGAGCAGCAGCTGGATGAGAACACTGGATCACTTAACTACTAACTAATCAATTCAAATCAAAGGACCCAGTCTAGCAAGATAAAACCATCTGTATGTCCATGTGGTACAGTAGGTAGGTTATGGCTTGCGCTGATGGATCAAGCAGCTTGAAAGAACAAAGGAGTTGAAGCATTCGAGGGATTCAGAGGCAGGCTGTGTGGTAACAGCTGCGGGTTGACTGTACAGAGGCTCAACCTCTGGATTCCCAACAACGGAGCGGACTGGAACGCATCCGCAGTGTAGTCCTGTTGAGCACTCCAAGCTTCAGATAAATGCTCCGAGTTGCCGTGAACCTAGCCAGCTGTCTAATGATGGATGAATATCCATATCACAGGTATGAATGGCGTCCATTATTGTGTGACCTGCTGTTGCCAGCCATGGCACTAATGGGGGTCAAATCCAGGACAAGCACCCACAACCATGAAAGCGCAAGGGTGCCAGGAGTCTCTTGGGAACCGCACAGCCCACTTCAATGCAGTTTGACATGAAATCCAAGGGAGCGGCAACCATGGGGCAAAAATAAGTCATACTGATTTTCCGCTTTATTGATTAAGCTGAATTAGGGTTAGCGGCCCTCTGCTTCATTAAGGCTGAATATGGTTATACTTCACTCAGACCACTGGAGAACCATGCAGCTCTGCACAGAAACTCACCAACAAACACAAATACACAGCAATGTCACTTAAAAAGCAAGGTTATGAAATTTGAAGTCCTGACATATGAGACCTTAACATTTGGGGGTGTTTTCACTTATTGCAGCAAAGCCAACGACCACTTGTGATAAAGGGAACCTCTATGCGGGTAGGGGACCCTCCCCTCCCCCTTAACACTAGCAGGGATGTCTTGGGTCGCCTCAACACAAGAAAGAGAAGATACAGGCACCATAATTTCAATATTACTAGGGGGTGTCCCAAAATAATTAATAACTTCTTACAAAGTGCCTTTCCAAATCCAAGAATGCTGATTTGAAATGTAATCACACAGCATTTTCTTACCCATTCCCCTGTACCCTAACACAAAAAGAAAGCTCTTCTCCGTGTTGTGGAGAATGAGTTCCATTGTGCTGCACTCCTGCCAATGAAGTTATTTTTGGTGGCTTCAGTGCCCAGTGCAATACAAAATCTATCATTACACATGCCGTTTTGCTTGGCACTTCATGGTGACTCTTCATACTTTCACAATCTTTCTGTCACGTGATGAAATATGCTGTACCCATTTTTGATAAACGATAAACTCCCTTCTTGGCATTAATGAGCCACATGAATGTTGACACTATCTTCTGTTGAAATGTCCTGCCTTTCTAAGTTGATGCTGCGATAGTGGATCTGGCATCTACGCCACCAGTATGCTCACTGGAGGAATGCTTTCAGAAGTCAAATCCAGATGCTGGGGGTTGTAGGAGTTTCTTGTATGTCTGGATTCCCGAATAATTAATTTATCAATTTCAGAAACGCATAGCTCCTGCTAGGCTTATTCATGGAAAGTAGGCATCCTGCGTGGACAGTTTTTCACATCACCTGCTTATGTTTCACTGATAATTAAAAGATAATTTAAGTTGCTAAATGATACATTAACTGAACAATAATAATTGACAGAGAGATACAGTACAGACTGGAGTACAAAACAAGACATTATGAGGTCTTGTCATAATAGGCAAGGCTATCATGCTGCTTAGAATTAATTGTTCAGGAAGGGTATTCAACTCATTAAATGGAAAATTAACCTGAATGAACAGCACTATTACAAAGATCTGTAGTGATCCGAATTTGCTGAAAAGATTAAAACATTGGACAGTAAACTCAGGGAGTACTTTATGGATGCTAGGAACAGAATTCTGTTACTGTACATTATATACATCTCTTGACAGAACAACTGAAAGGTCCCTACCAGGTTTCTGTGAAGGGTGTGGTATCATGCTAGCTTTCACTGGTGGGTACAAAAGTCTTGTAATAAACAGCACTAGTGCTTACTCCCAGGACATTACCTGGAAATGTTTATCACATTTTCCACGAGATTACACCGCTTCTTTCAGTGTGTGAACATATATTCATAGTACAGCTATGTGATGTTCTCTAAGTTACGGAAAACAGTTTCAGACCACACTCAATCATGGGGCTTTTGGCACTTGAACTCCAACCTCATTTCTGACCAGATTTTAATTCGGTCTGTGACCATTTGCAGTTTGTTTTTTCTATAATGCCTCAGGGTATTTAGGTACAGCTCAGTGGTAAACACTGAAGTTCTGCCTGCATGGAGAGAGAATTTCATAACCTATGCAGCATAATACATACTGTACCATAAACAAGGATCCAACCTAAAGCCCAGATCGTGGTGCTGCTTCTCCCATTCCACATTTGTAGTTATTTGGGGACATTGCAAATTAAATTTAACTTTTTAAGTACTAAAAATAATAAAACACCTGTTTTAATTATAGAAAATTGCATTGTGCTTCTTTGAGAAGAAGCAAAGTTAATAAAATCTTGACTCAGCATCTTCACCAGTCAGATGATTCTTAGATTCATATCACAACCTACAGAGGTCACTGAGACATTTAGATCACTGCCCTTCAATGTCCTAAAAGTGAACATACCCTTCAAGGCTGCCCTCAATTCAAAGTGCACCTGAAAAAAAAAAAACTTTTGCTTCAGATGAGATTACTCAGGGAACAGTGTCAAATCATAATTAGATGATCAGACAGTTGTGGCCTCAGCTTACCCCATGTTAATTAAGATTGATCTCCTCTGGTACTTTTCACTCCCCCTCAGGCACTGGTCCCTTATTGTTGGACAATTTACTCTTATGTGAACTAACATTCACATACAGAGGATAATCCATAATTAATTGCAAGAATCTAGACACAAATATAATATTTCCTAAAACATTATTGCCTGGAGGGGCATCCATAGTGTTGTCTTCTCTTCATAGTGACCTAAAACCACACTAATATGATAAAGATTTTTTTTTACTATAGAGTAGGTGCATACATTAAGTAACATCATATCACACTGCATCATTGATATCAGAAGTCCTCTCAGTAAATAGGGGTTTCACATGATCTTTTTCACTGCATATCAAAAATTTGGTATTGGTCCCAGGTTTGTCTTGAGGGTTGTGCAGTGGTTGTTCAGCCTCAATACATTTCACCAAGATACAAGAGAGGAGGCAGTTTCTGTTTATGCAGCTGCTCTGTCCGAACTGTTTATCCTCTTCCCATGGAAGGGGCAGGTGAGGGAACTTTTAAAGACTTTTTAACACTTTACAAAAAGCATTAAAACATTGAATTACTAGAAGTTATTTAATTAAAGCTCATTTGTAATGCAATGTTTCCAATGTGTTCTCTAATGACATTTAAATGGAACTAAAGGACAATGGGAAAACCTCAATTTAAATCGCTAATTAAAATCTTTCTCACTAAAAACATTGTCTCTCTGAAGTTTCATGTTTAGCCTATACAGCTATCTTAAACATAATGCCTACAAAAATCAATTATTCTAATTATAATGGAGTATGACAAGTTTATATAAAATATACTCCAGCTAAATCTGCCTTCTTAAGACATGTTTTCAAAGACATGCATGACATGACCATGTTGAATTACCATTACGTTCAAAAGCACAGCTTGTTAGGCAAAACCTACAATAATATGATCACAATGGGGAAAGTAACAGTGCAGTACACCCAGGAGCAGGCCTTTAGACAGCAAATATAACAGACAGCGCAAGGATTAGCGCAATACCATTATCATACCTACTGCATATGCAGAAAGCCTGTATAATCCATTCAGCTTTATTTAACTCTTTATTCAACCGATTCAGGGTTTCCCACTACATGCTCATTTGATATGGTTCTGCTTCTTTTTTAAAAACAGTCATCCTGCCCAATAACTTCAAAAGGCAAAGCAGTATCTGTGCCGCTGTAAACCTCTGCTTGGGTTCCCAACTTTTCAGAAGATGAATAAAATTCAATAACTATCCCCTGCACTTTCCATGACAGTGACTTGAATTTTCCATTGCACTCTTCACAAGGAGGGATTCCTGAACACCCTCCATGCAAACATTGAGTAGCCAGGAGCTCTGCTCATATGAGGGGCAGCGCGTGTCCCCAGTTTACAGAGTCTGGTCCAGAGGCCCACCAGCACCACATCAACACAAAACCCCACTTAATATCTACAACATGATGAGGTCAAACCACTCAGATTGCAATGAGATCAAATTTTGCAAAAGATGAAGAGGTGGTAACATTGAATGTTACAAGACAGCCTCATTAAAAGAAACAACTGGTTTGACAAAGTCTACACCAGCAAATCAATCTATAATGCACATAATTAGCATTTCCCAAATCTTGGTGAAACCTACTTGGGGGAAAAAAAAACATCTTCCTCATGTATGTGTACTTAGGCTTTTGTTGAACGATTACCTGACCACCCAAGTATAACAGCTTTTCACATTTTACACAATTATGAATTCTTTAATACAATACCAAAATGAAGAACTTAAGTCTTTCACATTAAGAAAGAAAGGTTGGTGCAGACAATATTATTAAATAAAAAATGCTCTAAACATAAGATTGTAAAAAATGTTTTAAAGAGATACTGTATATAAAAAGTTTGGGTTTATTTCAATGTACATTATATATTTTTCATGATTATATAATTTACAAACTAATGTTTAAAACAAGGAGCTAAACATCCAACAGACAGCATATCGTTTACAACCCTCACCAGGCATGCTCAACTCTTTAAAACTACAAAGTCCACTGCACTTACAACAAGGCTGGAATTAAGTTTTTAAGTAAATACAGCTCTCTGTACTACATCTTCACATTTATTGGACGCAGATCCTTACAAAACAATCATTTCATAACTAATAATCCAACGGACTATTCAGACACCAATTCAACTCTAAAAAGGTAAGTTTCAAAGGCTTCTATTTAAACCTGTTTAAGGTATCATACAATATGATAAATGAACACAAGCTTGACAGACATTTATATTTTCTTCAAATTTTTTAATACAGTCACCTCTCGTAAGCACATTACTAGATGCATAAAATATGTACTGCAGATTTACTATAAATATCACACCAGTGTTACCCTTTAATACACGTATCCAGGGCAAAGCTAAACATAAAGCAGAAAATGTTTCAAGACTTCAGATCATGGTGTTGTGTCATTTATAGCATGCAATATGTATCCTGCACTTTTAAAACACCTACATAGTAGCCATCAAGTACTATAAGAAATGCCTACCCTAAACTCGGATCCAAAAGAGCCAAAACAAATTTATTACAATTTAGCAAATACCTCGGTTTAGTGTTGTTGATATCCCGCGTCTCTCTGTTATCTTACCAGCTTCTGTTCATTACTGTTCGAATTCTCAGAACGGTGCAGCTCCCTTGAGTGAGCGTGTATGCGAGTGAAGATCTCCCGGCTGATTGCCAACCTCAGCAGAAAAAAAATCCCCATCCCTGTCTTGCGCCTTACAGTGGATTACAGTGATGTTTCCTTCCCAAGGGCACAATCCTGTGTAGGACAGGTGTGCATGTAGCTACAGTAGAAATAAACAACTGAACCGGCAAGCATTCTGGCAACAGAAACAGAACACAGAGCTTATTTTATCACTTAACACATTTGTTACATCATATAGCTTATTGCAGGCTACAGTATGCATAAAACTACTACATAAAAAGGTGAAAAAATTGCCAAATTCTTTATTATAATAAAGACTTTACGATCCACATCTCTGGAAGCAACACCTAGTACATTATAGCACCGGAAAAAAGGAGCATTGTAAACTCCAGAGGTCGTATTGAAAATGTATCACGTTACAGTATGCAAGATTATAGATGAGTGACTTTTGTGTGTCAAATTTTTTATCTGGTAATACTGGGGGCTATTAGGTCTGCAATAGACTGCTGACATAAAAAAAGGGGCAAGTACAATCATAATTGCTTCAAAGGGCAGAGGCAATACATAAAAAAGGAAATAAAGGATTTTGCCCATGGATAAGTACTGTAGTACATATGATTTCTACTGACTTTAGTTATAGCAAAGCTATTATAGAAAATTATTTAGTGGGAAATTTAAATATAGAACCATTATTGTTAAACACTTTAATGACAAGAGGATTTGCTTCACTTCCATTACAACTGAGAAAATAATACGGTTCAGTATGTTTCAGACCAGGAGATGCACAAAGCAGAAGAGTCAAACCAGAAACCAAACTCCCAGAAATACTTTTTTCTAGTTTTTCTTTTAAAAAAATTACCACATGGCAGAGACATATTGCTATATTTACAGCAAAATTAACAACAGGTAAATACTCCACACAACAAAATGCACCCTAGCAGAGATCTTGTCCACGAACTACAAAACTATTACATGCTACTTACCATACAACCAGCTTAAGAGTAATCATTGTTGCTTAACGTATTATGTACTGAAACAAAAAGGTGTGCTGGCTTTAAAAATACCAACAGAACAAATGATATTCTTAATAAGCCTCATTTCACTACATTAAATACAATGACGTTTTTTTCATTTTATGGTATGCATTGAAAAATACAAATCTGACATGGTTTGAGTTGAGCACAATCTCATGATCCTAATTCTTGTTAATACAATTATTTAAAAACTATTTTAGCTCAGTTCCATTCAGCTCCAGAAGCAAGATGAAGCATGATGTACACCAGTTAAAGGTTATTTTTAAGTATTAGATATGAAAACCACACAAGCACTCAGATACATTAAAATGAAAATGCTTAGTATGAATAGAAGGGCTAAGTGTTAAAAACACATTACTATAGTAATTAAAATCTATTCAAGTTAAGGTGTTAATAGAATACCCAAAATACACACACTGTAAAAGCAATTGAACACATGGACATGTGTAACAGGTATCTGTACAGTATATCATGTTGGACTTGAAATGTAAATGATAAGGCACTAAATGGTACAGAAATACAAACCCCCTCCTGCTTGGAGAACAATGCGAGGCAGTCTCTCAGGGCTGAGCAGGTCTCCGAGGAAAGCTCAGACAGCTCCTTCACATTCTGCAGCACTGGAGGCAGCAATCCTGGTGCAAGACAGAGGACCAGTTTCAAACCTTGACATTCAGGCTTAAAACATTCTGACCCGACATGAAACAACTGGGGATGACTTCGACAAACGGGCTCCTTCAAAAGGAAAAACACAAATCATTACACAGAAAGAAAAAAAAGCAAGCCATTTTTGCCCATCTCAGAGTTTAGGAATGAAGAACATTTTCCTCTTAGATTTGTCAGTACTCTGTGCTCCATCTTTGTTCCCCAAGTCTTGGCAACATCCCCAGTCCCAGCAGAACAATAATATACTTCTCCACCACCAAGCCTCACAGGAAGAATGATGCACTATGGGATTTTGTCAGATGTAACACTGCATTTAGACCACAAAATGTCCAATTTTGTCTTGTCAGACCACAAAATCTTTTGCCATGTTTGCATTACCCTATGTAGGATTTTTTTCAGTTCCATGAAAGTCTCCTTTGTGAAGCAACTGGGATATTGCTGACCCATGGACATTTTCTCCCATGTCAGCCACTCAACTCTGTTACAGAGTCACTGCTGGCCTGTTGATCTGTTTGTAGTGATCGCCTGATCAACAGAATTACTACACGTCTTCACTTCTTAATGACTGATTTCTCAATGCTCAATGAGATATTAAGAGTTATTTGAAATGTTTAGCACCCTTCTCCTGATCTGTTCCTTTATGCAACTACAGTACATCCCAGAGTACCCCACATTCACTTGACCGACTGAGGGACCTTATTGACAGGTGTATTTAATATATAGATACAGATAATAGATACTTTTATGCACCAAAGTTAATTTAAGTTCGCCATAGGAAAGGGTTTGAATACATATGCAATCATGACTTTTGTGTTTTTTTTATATTATTAATTCACTTTTTTTTTTACCTTGAATGTATGGTGTAGGTTGTGTATACAACATTTATTAATTGCTTATTCAATGTGTCCTGACAGTAAGATTTAAAACAACAAAATTAGATAATTGTGCAAGCTTTTGAATACTTTTGCCAATGCACTGTACTTGAAATGAAATTAGTTGGTGAGATTAGGCGAGTTAACGTAAAGCATCAAATAATTTTATAGTAATGACCTTTGAATTTGAGAAAACTGCCAATGGTTTTATCATTTAATTGTATAGTGAAAAGGTCTGCTGGCTCAGCACAATATATAAAGTCATACTGTATATAACAAAATATGGAAACTTATGTCAAAGACAAGAAATATAATTTAACTAACCAAGTGTGTTCAGTATAAACCCATTACCTTTTATAGCACAGATTGGCAAGTTAACTTTGTTACAATTAGTGTCAAAACAACCCAACTCCATATTCACTCATGAAGTAGAATGTTTATTTTAATTTTTTACCTCAAAACAATCAAAAAGCAACAACCATCTAAACATAAGGATATTCTAACCAAGCCTACACTAAATTTTAAATTATTGCAGTACACATAGCATTTTAATTAAAACAGTTCTTTACATATGTTAGTCACAAATATCACTGTCAGTTATTTTCAACAGACAGATCATATGAGCTAATCGGCATTTCCAAAAATAACTTTTAAGCCGTTAAGTCTGTAACAGTGTTATCCTATTGATTTATCATTTCTGTTCAGAAACTAACCGCCAGTGAGTGGTCTCTGACAAGCGAGACCTTTGCCTGATAATATTCTGTATCAAACGGGTGACAGTGTTAAAAGCCTTTTCCCTGACCTGGAAAGTGAAAGTATTATTACACTGCACACTTATAAAACTGATCTTTGACACACCTCTTAAAAATTTCCAGATTCTATGACATACATGTTTATATCATGGGTTCACAACTCATCTGAATACAATAGACACACTTGTCAGTAAATCTCTTCTAACGCAATGTGTGATCCACTGAAGTCAGTCTGCACTTAAAGATCTCTTAATCAGCAAAATGGTTTTTGACCAATATTATATGTATTGCTGTAATTTTGCCAATATACATCACTGCTTTTCATATGAGGGAGGTTATGATTGCACAGTATACACAAAATAAAGTGTTTGAGAGAATCTTTTTCTTTTCTTTCGTCGCACAGACACACAAGTCTAATGTCCAGGGGAAAAATGGATGTTGAAGATTCCAACAGCCTGCAACAAGGGTACTCAAACAACCAGGTCCCAGTATTTTAGATTAATTTATTTCTCTGTTTAGAATCATTTGCAGGTATACTGAGTTATTGAAAATGTACTATCCTACATCTGAAAGTGTTCTGCTAATAAAGAAAATTCAAAGCACAATACCAGATTCCTTGAGGTCACCATTTAAATCTACCTAAAAAAAACTTCTAATGCTAGATTGAAGCAAAATAAAAAAACAAAGTTCTTAAGGCATAGAATCACACAGGAAGGAAACATAAAATATCTGCAACACATCCAAATTAGACATAGATTTTAGTATAAAAATATAAATTTGAGACTGGCTACTCCCCTTCTCCAAAAGCCACTTTAAGACTATTGCCCATCAGGAAAACACTTTAAGAATATACTACCTTTCTGATCATGAGTGCAAACCTGCAGACTTCATAAGGGATATTTAAGAACAGCAGGAGAGGAAAAGTCTCACCTTGAGCCACCTTGTCATTTTTCACCATGGCAAGAAAATTAGACACTGCCGTCTCGAGCTTCTGTTGGCAAACTTGAGCTTTCTGCGATGGAAGAACCACAAACACTCGCTGAGAGACAAAAAACTGGTGAAAATAAGTTGCTGTCACAAACAACTGATAAACCACGCTAACTAAAACTCTGAAGTGACACAGAATATTACAGAAAAAAACACTTCACCTAAGTGCTCCCAGAAGAACAATTTGTACTACTTAGGTTTAAACCTTACTTGCATGTCACTTTTACTCGTGAAGCCATTTTTTGCGTCAAAATGAAAGGAGGATTCCAGCCTGTTTCGTAGTTGTTTGGTAATTGATCCACTCAATCCATCCTGCCATTCATTAAAAGTATGGACGGAACACTTGCTTGTTTCCTTATACCTTAGGGTATGAGCTATCTTACACACCGCCTGTAGTGGGCTTGCACAAGGGCTAAAAATTCAATGTGCATGGTGATTGCAGGTTGCCTCGTGTGTAAAGAGAATTGCACATAGTTTCAGATTCCAGGTCCTCTCAGCTAGAGAGTCACCTACCTGCAGAGAGTCACTCAGCTCCCTCACAGACACCCCATCCTCCTCATCCTCTTCACTGCCCTGCTCTTGGGAACAGTAGTGAGTGCTGTAGGCTGCATGCTCCTCAATCGTGTCCAGCCATTTCTTCAAACAGACAGCAGCAGTCACTAGCTAACTCAGAAAATGCACTTTTTGTCACAGTTAAATTTTTACTGACAAAGTGTTAAATAACTTATACACATGGTGTAACATGGGGGAATGTTCAGTGAGGAGGCGGAGCCCTGGGTTAAGGGTGACGTGTTGCCTTAGTGACCGCAGCTGTCCTGGCTGATTAAGGACAATACGCAGTTGTGGGGCCCTTTAAGACACACGGAGCTCCTCCCCAGAAGGATGAGCAGACCCCTGCAAGGGGAGACCCTTCCAGCCACAACCCCAGAGGAGGATTGTGACGAGAGCGTCAAGACTACGTTTTTGCTTAATTTTCTTTTCTTTTTCTTTTCTCCCATCTCGCCTTGAATTTTTCCTCCCCTGTCCTGCTGTCAGGATTCAGGGCAGGAGGAGTTCTCTTTAGTTTTCTCCCAGTCTGGACCCTGCTTAATAAGGACAGTCCAGCTGCTGTTCCAAGTGGTGAATTATTCTTTTTCCTGTTTTTGTTGCTTTCTTTTTTTTTCCGCTAGCCTCACACCGGAGCCTCCGCCCGCTCAGACAGGGCATCGACTCTTACTGCTGTTTGCTGTGACTCCTCCTACTGCCGCTCTGCTACAGACAGTATATGCGTTTATCCTGTAGGTGTTTTAATTTAGGGGGAATAACACAAAGTGAAATCTTATTTATATGGAATTATTTAGTTTTGCAGATGGTTTTCCTGAAGTTTACTTCAGATAAAATTCCATACTTTATGCCTTCCAATGATTTGATAGTACATAAACCCTATCAAAATTAAGAAGAGTAATTGAAAACAAAGAAGTGTCTTTGCGCTGTCAAAATGTACATAGAATACACAGCTTAACTCACTTTTATTGTCACTTCATTTTTCGGATGAACTTTGAAGAGATGAATACTGTCATCAAAACATTTGATGGAAAAGTGGCTGTTGTCTTTCGCTTTGACCTTAAATAACAAAACATGAAAAACAATGTAAAAGTCATTTCTATACTAGTCGTTCTCTATATGTACGGTAGCTGTCAATCCACAACTAAGCAGAAATTGCTATGATAGCCAGCCTACCGTGCAATGAGCTTGAGTTAAGGACTTGCATCCCTGACGCCGATTATTAGACGCTGCATCTGACCTGAAGGACAAAAAACAAATCTGATATTTGAACAAACATGTGATAGTAAAAGAAGCAGAATTACTGTTGTAAAGCTGAAGAAAATGTTCACTTACTGCTTAGCATACCAGGATAGGACACCATCTTGGAGCACCACCCAGTAGGACCTCCATCCAAAAAAACGAGAACTCTGAGCAAGAGACGCAGAAACTAATCACTTGCTCACATATCTTTCTCTGAAAATGTATTCCAGCATTCAAAAGAAAAAACACTATTCTGTTCCAAAGCAAATTCAAGTATCTACATAAAGAGAGCTTTCTTCGGGTTACCTAAAGAATATGAGAACTTGCAATATAAAATTCCTAAACACAGTTTGCTACACTTTATACATTTGCACAGCTGAGTTAATAAAACAATTACCTTCCAAAGAGGTCCCTCAAATGATGGCACATTTCGATTCAAACCCTTAAAGAAAAAAGGAAAAAGAGGTAAAGATCTGGAAAAAGACTTCGCTAATAATGGTAAGCAGTCTTGTATTAGAAGTCTTATACAATACTTAATACCATTATTAACACACAAGGGTATGTCAATAACACAATAACACAAGCCAAAAAGAAGAAAAAAAAACAGGTCTATCTTGTACACATCAAAAATAAAGAATAAAGAATGCATGAATTCAAGAATTCAAGAGAAATCAAGATGAGTTATTTCATTAATTCATTGATAACTATACACATAACTCAGTTCTAATGAGGTAAAAAAAATCTTGATTTGCACATTAAATTTTGAAATTCCCCAGAGCTTGCCAAATACTAGTAGTAAGTTTGGTAAAGTTGAATAATAAGTCCATAAACTAAAAAGGTCACATCCATTAGAGAATCACTAGTTTTAACAGAAGTTTTACAGTTTATTTTACCCTTAATAAATACTAACCTTCAGATAATTGCCTTCAAGAATCTGTTTCATCTCAGCACTGTTAACAAGGTCAAACGCAGTCTGATCTGGTAATGGGAGAAGAGAGAAGGCCATTCCTTCAGATCAGTCAAACGACATCAGCTAATTGTATTAAATTAAAATTGAAGTACAGTATGAGTCATTCTTTCATTACCAAACTGCACAATGTCCACATAACTTAATGAAATGTTCAACTGCCGCAAAAAAGGCAAGCATAGACATTAATAATACATATTAAAAATTACAGAAATCAGACACTTTACCATTAATCTTTAAATATTTAGATACAAAGCTTATATGTATACATAAGTTATTATAATCTTAGACTGAAAACTAGCCTGTGGCAGAATTCATTCACCCTTAGACAAGATGGCTCACTAGAAACAGGACAGTACAAGAGGCATTACAGAGATCTGCCAGGTCTTTTAACCAACTCTGGAACAGCCTCACAGACAGCCACTAAAACACACCAACACCATGAATACAGTACATACATTCTTACTCATAAAGGGCCCCCATGTGTGAATGTGGAATGATCCACCACCCATAATTAATTCATTAGCTAATTATCACCCAGTGTATCTATTAGCAAGTAATCGATTCCTTGAGGACCTCTACTGCCAGGTCAGCTGTTAAACAAACCCCTTAAAGACCAGCCTGCCACATACATTGAAAGCAGGTCCCATGGATCTTAAATCATTCTCCTTTTTATACAGCTTAAATGTTTTTGCATTGTTCAATGTAGAAATACTGTAGTATTGGCCTATTTTTTCTTCTGCTCGTAACTTTCTGCTTTCTGGTAAGAGATAGATGTAGTTGAAATGTGCATTGGCAGTTAAATAAACATCTGAAAACCTTCGATGACACAATACTTGTACTTGACTGTTAAATATTCTAGAGCTACTGTTCTATTTCCAAATTCTATAAGCAGTTTAAATAAACAACTGAGTTTGAAGAAATGTATGCAGGAATTAAAGTACCTGTTGATACTAGCCAGTGTGTAAAAACTATACAGTTAATAATACAAGTTTTATTTAATGAAACAAAAAACACTTGATTTTCAGTTTTCTGAGGAAATATTCATTCGAGTGTGATAAAATGGTATACTGGAAAATTTGTTCATATTCCTCTGCATTTTTATACAATTTTGATAATTATATGAATCCCACTTGCACTTTTAATATAGCCATTTTAAACAAATCTGATATTTTTATAGTCTTCAGGTCAAGCAGTGCTTTTATACTTTATAATGAAATTGCACAAGTAATTTAGATATAACAGCAGGGAGCATAGAACACAGGTCTATTACTACACTGCAAACGATTCTGGTACAATAACAGTAGGAGCAGAAAGCTGAACAAATTGCTGAAGCTGTCATTTATTGTTATTTCAACTGAACCTTATGTTATATTATATTTAATCATGAAATCCCTTTGCTTTGGGAAAAGGATTACATCAATGAGGATAATTAAATCCATATACTACAGAAATTGAGCAGACAGCATCAAGTCGTGTATTAATATCTCTGTTAGGATGCTGTAGCAACTTTGAGCCAGCAGCTTCATTTCTCCAGGAAATGTCCTGCTTTACAAATGGTTATATCTGATTAAAGAATTAAAAAAAAAATCAGACACTTATTTGGCCTGCAGCCATATCACTCTCCAACTCACATCTGGCAACCCACTGAAGCTCAGCAGGTGCGAGCCTGGTCAGTACCTGGATGAGAGACCTCCTGGGAAAAACTAAGGTTGCTGCTGGAAGAGGTGTTAGTGGAGCCAGCAGGGGGCGCTCACCCTGTGGTCCATGTGGGTCCTAATTCCCCAGTATAGTGACGGGTACACAATACTGTAAACAAGCGCCGTCCTATATAAGTGTAAGCATTTATTATTATTTCTAACCAAGGAAGTAGATGTAGTTACTTTGTGAAACTTTGTGCTACATACACTCTCCAAGAACTGATTTTAAAACAGCTGACTTTTAACTCACCATTTTGATTCTTGATGTTGGGGCTTGCTCCACTCTTCAGCAGTTTGATGGCACACTGTTTCTGGCCTCGGTAGACAGCGCAGTGCAGTGGGGTGTTTCCCAGCAGGTCTGAGCAATTGATGTCAGGCGGCTTTTTCCTGTTGAGCTGCAAAAATGAAAAACGAAAGACCGAAATTAAAAGGCTTTAACAATTGCAATAAAAACAATTTTCCTAAAAGATCAGCCTGTTGAAGGACATGCAGCCATCCTACATTAATGCAGCTTGATCATTTCATTTTCACAGGACCTATAATGTAATATTCCATGTAATAGGCCAATGACTGTAAGGTCATTGTTAAAATAAGTTTTTTTTAATGCAACTCTAAAGGATTCTGAGTATTATTCAATTTTTGTTTTTAACAGTGGGATAGTCTTCAATGTTGGCAAATACAGATTCTTATTAGTATGATGTTGGGTTATTCAATACTTCAACACAGCAAAATTTTCCTTTCTGTTCTGTATTCTCCTTCGCTTCTTGCATTTCCTGCATAGCTATAGTAGGACAAATGTCTAACCATTTACACAGATCAACCACATCAAAATAAAATATCCCATATACTGTATATGGTTTCAGTGCTACGGTATGAGAAAAAAAATGCTTTGTGGCTGTGATTCACAGAACACAGATAGTTTAAAAACAGTGCACAATGGAACACACCTGCAGTCACTAAGAAGTATTTACAATTGGGAAAAAAACACAAAGATCAACAAGTAAAATTAAGGGAACCATATTTTTTCTATAATTATGATCAAGGCAAAAGGGTTTAACTACAAAAGATCTGCAAACTGCGCATATATTTACATTGTAAATGTTTAAATTCTACTTTCCCACACAACTACATTCTATTCTGTGTTTGAAACAGAGATAACAAACTGCACATCAGTGGTTTTAAAAGGATTAAAAGCAAACCCAGTGCAGTGCCCCCAAGTTAAGATGAACAACCTTACCAGTTCAGTAAGTGTGGTGGAATTGCCCTCCCTGGCAGCTTCTAAAAGCAGTTCTTCTTGTTTCCTCTCTTCGGTCCTCTCTGCAGCTGTTAAAGGATCTGACGTTAATAAAGGCTATTTGCTCTGTCTGCCCGTTCAGTAGTTAGGAGCTAATTCATCCAAGAACATCTTTGAGCCTTTTCTTGAAAAAGCCGGGGTATTGGCTGGGTAGCTTGTTACATCTCCTGTACACCTATTTGGGTAAAGAAGTGCACAAGGTACCCAGCAATGCTGGATAATAAAACGTTGGTGTAATTACACAAAAAAATCATAACCAACTAGAGTACATCATTACTTTCTTAAACACAGATCATATCTTATCTATATAAACTTAATACTTAATGCCATGATCGTGCCAAAAGTTACACAACCTGTGTTCTACATTACTATAACTTTCCATCTTTGATGATATGTTCTTATATGTACAAAGCTTTGGAGCTTTTATTTTTTTAAATATGTTAAATTGTAGTATTCACTGTACCTTCTAACATGTTTCTGATCTCTACATCTTTAGTGACATCTCTTGGAGTTTGTGCTGTTCCATTGAGGACTGTAGCACAAGCATTATACTGTAACAGCAACATAACGACTTCCTAAAAAATAAAGAAATGGAACGATAAGTAAAAGAAATCCAACACCCTTTTAATGAACCCATATACTGCAGGCAAGAAATATCATTTTCATGACATTTTTTGTCTGGACTTTTTGTCTGGACAGAGGAACTCAGTTTGTTAATTTAATCTTTTGTTAAAATATTCATTTTAAGAATGGGGCACACATCGTTTGCAATTCAACAAAATGGAACACCACTGGCAGGGAGAGAATAGTAAGACACACAGCTACATAAATGGGTACAAATGTCATGTGGCTTTGGATGAAAGCATCACACAGAATCAACACACCTACCTTTCTCCCAGTGAAGGCCGCTCGATGCAGTGGAGTGTCCCCCATGTTATTTAACACATCTACATCCGCACCAGCCTGCACAGGTTAAATATATACATTTAACTGAGAGAGAAGGAGCTCCATTTCATTTACTAGAAGTCTGGAATAGGTGATAAACTGAAGACTCTTACCTTTAGTAGTTCTTCCACAACATCTTTGTGTCCAAAATAACATGCAAGGTGAAGAGGTGTCCATCCTAAATTAGACTTGCTCTTCCCTGCCAGAGACAGAGATCCCAGACACCCACTAATTAATTTCCCATGCTAACCAGATTATACTTTCTAATTTTTAAGTAACAGAATGGTCACTTATTGCCATAGTACTTTATTGGGAAATGAGGGAATAGAAGACAAAAGGTGTAAACAAATTCTAGCAAAATATACACCATTTGTCTGTGACTATTGCATAAAAATAAATAAACCTGTTTGTATTCAAGTAGCAATAAACTGGGACGCAGTCTAAACACAGTAAATGTAAAAACAATAATGATCCTGATGTTTATTTAAAATACCAGCCAACTTTAATCAGGAATAAAACCAAACAAGTGGTTTCTTTGTTTTCCTGCTAGAGTGAGATGGCAGAGCAATGAAGTGACAATCTTAAAAGACAAATATTTACAACACTTAACATTATATACTGTATATAATTTGCAAAACTAAGAGTACCTTAGTCCAGACCTAACCTTACGTGCACCCTAAGTAGTGGACTAAGCTTACTGAAAATTAACAGACACAGCATTTTAAAGAGGTAATGGAGCAAAAGACCTCCAAGGGACAATCTGTTTTCTAAAACTGATGCACAATTGCGAGAACCATTTCAATAAAATCAAACAGTAATGAGGAAAGCAATATTCTATCATACATGAGCTTTGTGCAATGTTTCTGTCCCTAAAGAGGAGGTGTTCTGAATTTGTAGGATGGTGGAAAACACTCACCACATCTTGCTTCTTCAGCTCCAGAGGGATGAGAGAGAGGGTTATGTTAGACCCTTCTACTGATACACTAAACTACACATCCTGGACCACTATTCACCTCTTAGCTTGAATTTTATTACCTTGCTCAAGTGTCTTGCACAGAGAGTCTGCCTAACTACACAAAGAAAAAAGCTCAATCTGTGTGGCTAGGAGGGGTGACACGATGGCACAGTGGACAATATTGCAGGTTCGCAGCACTGGGGCCCTGGGGCGCTGTCTGTGTGGAGTTTGTATGCTCTCCCTGTGCTCATGTGAATTTCCTCGAGCGCTCCGGTTTCCTCCCACAGTCCAAAGGCATAATGGCCGTTAATTGTTTCTGGGAAAAATAGTCCTGGTTTGAATAATAATAATAATTAATAATAATTGCTAACACTTATATAGCGCTTTTCTGGACACTCCACTCAAAGCGCTTTACAGGTAATGGGGTCTCCCCTCCACCACCACCAATGTGTGCGTCTGTGTCTGTCCTGCGATGGACTGCCTTGCACCCTTTGCTTGCCGGGATAGGCTCCAGCTCCCCACAGCCCTGAATTGTATTAAGCATTTAGAAAACGGATGGATGTGTGGTTATGTACGGTTTACACCAATTTCTAGCCCATGACAACTGACCTCTGAAGCTAACCCAGTGCCTCACGTAAGCCTCAGAGACATACTTCTAATTGGCACGTAGTCGAATAAATCCCAAGCCTCCAACCTGTCCTGGACCTGACCAAATTCGTGGCTCTCTATGGTGGAGCTAATGAGTGAGCTGCATGGATCTCTTCCTTGTCTCCCTGGGCTAGAAAAATGATACAAGATCCATACTGGTGTAATGAGAATACCACCCCAGTACACAACAATGTATACATCACATATACACATGAACCTGCTCCAAGTTAACACAATGATCATGCCTGAATACCTTTGCAGTTAATGTTCATGTCTGTTTCTCCTTGTTTCTTGGATTCCAAAACCTTTCGAATTCCTTCATGGTTTCCATTTCGGGCATCGTGAAGAAACTGATCCTCTGGGTTCACTTCCATCTTTAGCAGTACAGTACAAGCAGAACCAACAGTTAGAATAAAAAGAAGTCAGGGTAGGAAAAACAAGGACCTCGCTGCGCAAATTATTTCATAGTGAGAATGGGCTGTGAACCAACAGATATGAACAGCCAGGCTAGTCCATACAACATGAAAGCACTCTGCTCTCTTGAGCAGAGAATTGGCCTTTTGCCTTAAGCTACAGTAGGTACTACCAATTCTCCTATTTTCCTAGTGTGGTATACAGTTCCAGAATAAACAGGTGCTCTTTTCAGACAAACACAAACTTTCTTGTGCCACAGCTCTATAGCCGTCCAAGAACAACACGTGCACGTGCATACATGGCAGTTTTAATTCTCACACATTCTACACTCCTACACTGCAAAACTTTTTTACTGTGAATGGGTCTCTGTTAAATGCTATTAGCCTTCTCATTTAGCAGACTTTCAGCTGCAGGCTCACAAGTTTGAACATAAGTCATTGCCATGCTTTCATATTACATGATTATTAAACACCGGTGCAAAGCAACTGAGAGCAGTGCTTGTGAGTAAGACATGGCAATTTATAAACCCTGAGTGTTTGGAGGTGGTGACAGTTTGAAATGAACACCTGTTAGGAAGAAAAACCTATCCACTACGGTCATTAATTCTTAGGCAAAAATAAGGGTATAGAAATATTTCAGACCAAAACACTGAACAGGTCTTGGGCTGCATCAGGCCAAAAAAATAAAAAGTTTAAATTTCGATATCGTAGCTATTGAAGTGTATGAGATAATGGGCAGAGTTGATCAAATTACCAGGTTATTTTTTACTACTGTATTGAATTTGTAAGCTTTCATATCATTATATTTACTGCATAGTTATTTCTAAAAGTATTGATTTTGCACACGTACCAATCATCATTATTTCACTGGCAAGCCCAGAACACCGAGCATGTCAGAGAGTGTCATCTCCTATTACTCTTTTTCCCCAAATACTGTTACAACCCAGTGGACCTAAGAGGCAGCAACAGGATCCCAGGAGAGACTCTGCTGTAACCTTGGTCAAGGGATTTCAACTCAGTCATTCCTGTACAATTCCCACCTGTATACTGTAAATGCATGCAAATGTTGTTCATTGAGATAAAAGTATCACCAAAATACATAAATAATTAAGTTCAGATCATAGTTTACAAGTTTATTTACTTTGTGAGCAGAACTAACAAATAGTAATCACCCTTTTTGGCATTTTCACAATTCTTCAATACAAGTGATTATTATAGCGCTTTTTGCTTTAAAGGTAATGCTTCAGTAATGCTTCTGAACAAAGATTTAAAGAGCAGTCACCTTGCTTGTAATATTTCCAGTGAATAACTGATGTATTTTTCAACATGAGGATTTATTGGTCACTACTTTAGTGAATTAACATTCTTTGGTGAAACATTCTTCAAACACAAGGGACTGTCTTTAAAAACTAATATCTGTTTTTTAATCATCTCATTTTGAAAACACCATCACTGCAAAATGTTAGACGACTCTATGATGGAACATGTGGTATGCTTAAAAGTACAAAACAAAACATAGTTCTCTTTTATAGATAATGTTTTATATCTATAATACAAAATAAATCATCTATAGCCTTAATGATTAAAAATATGGAAATAAAATGCTCTGTTCAGGTCAAGTAGAAGTTTGTTCCACTTACACATGGCTGCCCTCTAGTGGCTCAATTCAATATCGTGTATGTGCGAAGAGTAAAAATTACATCTTCACATTCCAAATAGACTTGAAGCATATCCATTGTTAGTTAAACCTGCTGATTCAATTCCAGGCAAAGTCAGGTTCACTATATTATTTATGTTTTCCACAGGCCAATAATATATATATTTTTCAGTATTTTACAGCAACAATTTCTAAATATCCTACAATAAAGGGTATGTGTATTTCTTCTGTTGTGTTTTAAGACCCCATAATGTATAAGAACACTTCCTATGGGAAGACGTTATAAAGACATAATCTGGCAATTTACATAAAAGAAACAAGCCACCTTTACATGCATTTTTATTTGCTTTGCATTGCCTAAATAAATGGTTCAACAAAAGCATACTTCTTTAGAGTTAGTTGAGTTGAGTAAGTTTCCTGAAAATAGTCATGTTTCTTTAAAAATAATAATAGAAATAATGAAAACGTCCTGGTAGTTAAAACCTTTGTCACATGATTCTGTTTTTGAAACAAGTGAAACAAACTTACAGTGTGGATTTACAAAAAAAACACAAGCAATATAGATACAGATAATGTATAAGGAGTCATGAAATGAGAACTTGACAAAAAATATTCAGTATTCAGGTCTTAAGATACAATGGTAAACGTGTATATACTGTATAACAGAGTTTCAAAAGCACACCTGTCTGCCTCAGGGATGCCAGATATGGTTACGTATTCATATTGATGTTATTAAAGGATTAGACTTTCCCAGTTTGAAACTGGGAGGGCCTGGGTTCTTACAAATCTACTAACCCTACTATTATGTTAGAAAAAGACACAGGCCATAAATCTAATTCTAAACCTATTTTACAAATGACATCGAAAAATGCGAAGTTAAATACATTTATACATTAAAAACATGTTTAGCTTGCCATAGTTTTTCTCTGTAACTGCAATCTGCTCTTAACAAAATTATTTGCACAAAAGTGACAAAGAGAGGGTGTAGAGGGACTTCTTTCACCAGCAGGTCAACTCACGCAATTTATTTTGAGAGAATATGGGTTATACTGTATATCATAAAGCACTTCTAATGGGACGTGGCATACTGTACATATTTCGCTATTTAAGTAATGAGTACTCCGGTAATGCATTAACAAACAACAACAATAATTATAACAAAGAGTTCATTTACGTCGCTGCGTTTTTAAAATTACTTTTTAAACTCACTCTTTAAATTCATTTAATCCCTCGAGAACTAAAATACAGTTTTACTTACCTTTAATTAGAATCAGATCCCTTTGTCATCTCAGACAGTTTTATGGGATACGAAAAATACGGCGGTTTTACGAACACGGGATTTCCTATCTCGCCTTTCAAAAGTGCTAGTGTTTCAGCGTAATAGTTGGTGATCACAAGCTTCACGACTGCAAGATTAGCATGTTGATCAAGTTCACTGTGGACGTAGAAAGGGAAGTTTCTCCGTATGTGAGTCAGCATGTGATTGAACCCAAAATGTTTGACTCTTCCTGTTTACAAAACACTCACTCTTTAAGGCAAAACGTCTAATAACGAATCCTCTCCACACACACCAAAAAAATCGATTTAAGTTCAAGCATTTAAACAGTACGTCTTTTAAATTTAGTGGACAACAAAGAACCTTGCAATTTCGTTTACTCAGTGAAAACGTCAGCGATTTCCTTGAGCAACACTGTGAGTGAAAAGCAAGAATTATTAGGCATCAGCTGATGTTTTAAGGGGGCAGGCAGGCTGAAGCGCCTGCACACCTGAGACAGGTGAAGCGTGTCTTCCCTGGCAGTTTGAAACTTGTGCGAGCAGTGTGTTTTTGTAACAAGACCTTTCAGAAATACCTCTCTCAGTCACTTTATTAGCACATATGCATAATAAATGCAATAATCGATCAACAGGAACTTGGGAGTTATGCGTTCGTCCTATAAACAACATATGAAAGCACTAATCCGTGATAAGGACAGATGCTAAATCGTCTGCAAAATACATTTTCAATGTATCAAATACTGCCGAAAAACAGCTTGAACTACTGAAGCTCAATATAACAGTTTGCATTAGCTGCTTTTTAAAAAAATATATATTTTCGAAGTGATGCGGTCCTAACTATCCAAAATTCCTCAATTTAAATATTTGTCACTAGGGTCTTTTCTATTTCCGGGTTAACGCGTTGTCCAGAATGCCCCGGAAGTAGAAAATAAAAATAGGTTTCCGATTCTTTGCAGCTGCAGCTTAGACCAGTCTGTCTGTGTGTAACTTTAGTGAGGTAGTGGAGTAGTTGCAGAAAGTGAGCATCTGGTCTAAGTTCACACCTGAGAGGGTGATTGAACACTTTTGTTTACACACCTCGACACCCTGTCAGTCTTGTTGCCTGAATTGCTGCTTTCAGTTTCCAGAGCAACTGGAGAAAACATGAATGAATGGCTGCTTCTGCAGTTAATGTAGGGGACGATCTCCAGGCTCAAGTACGTGTCCAGGAAAAAAAAATCACAATTTTGAATTTTGAATCACATGGATAAACAAGTCGTTTTTAATCTCTGTGTTACGTGTTTTCTATAAATCAAAAGGGCAATGTGAAATAAGTATTTTGCAGAACTGTTTTAGTAGTACTTAGTTCTCGGTGGTGTTGTGTTGCAGACTGTTGCACACTGTTTTTCAAAAACCGTGATGTTTCAAAATTCAATATAAAAACTGTCTCTTCTCCCTAGATTTTCTGATGAATTAAAAATGAAATCGAGAATAAATGCCGTAACGCTCTGGATTTGAGAAAGATACACTGATGTGTAAACAGAAACCTGGTTTAGATTTGATGCTATTCGAATTAAACCACCACACTAATGAGGCAAGAGAGACACTGAGTCTGTATTTGGTTTTACCAACAGATCGACGAGATTGAAGCACTTTCCTCAATATATGGAGACGACTGGTGTGTTATTGATGAAGCCTCGAGAATTTTCTGTATAAAAATCTCAGATAATCAAGAACACCCAAAATGGACACTATGCTTGCAGGTAAGGGCTGTTTCTAAGTCAGAGGCATGTGTAGCACCCAGTTCTGAAGTATGTTCCAGTAATCACTCATAAGAAGAACATAACAAAAGTTACAAACAAGAGGAAACCATTTGGGTCTTTTAGTGTGTCTGGTATGGTTTCGTTAGTAACTAATTGATCCCTGGATCTCATGCAACTGTTTCCTGAAAAAAGCTAGGGTATCCTCTTCAAAAACTCGACTGTTCCTCCTTTTTTCCAGAACCCCAGAGCACTGTGTGTCAGTGTGTCATGGTCTCAATTCTGAATGCACTGGCACATACTTTTCCTTGTGTCCTCTGGATCAAGTTGATTCTGAAGAGGTTCACTGGGCTGACTTCGTCAGTGTCTTTAAAGGTTTTGAATAGTCGAATTAGGTCTCTTACTCTGTTCAAGACTAAAAGGTTTAGTTTTTTGTTGCCTGTCAACACATACACTGTACAAACACATAAAATGTACATACTGTATGATGGACATGTAAATGGACATGTAGTCAGCGCAGGTCATTACTGGCTGTGTGCTACCAAACACCCAGGATATCTACTCAGCTAGATGTCTTAAGAAGGCCAGGTCCATTCTCAAGGACCCCAGTCATCCCAGTCACAAACTGTTTTCTCTCCTACCATCTGGTTAACAGTATCGAAGCATTCGGTCAAAGTCCAACAGACTACGGAACTGCTTCTACCTCCAGGCAATAAGACTGCTAAACAGCCAACCTGCAGCTCCTTCAGCAGATCACCTGTAATGGCTACATGGACATACAGTTTTCATTGTATTCAGCATACTGAACTACTTGGACATAATATATTGCATACACCATGGATACATAGCAGCTCTTTTCATATTGAGTTTTATTCAATTTCTATTACATTATTATCTATTATTATGTAACCTTATTTTCAAAACCTTAATTTTGTGATTTTTGTGATTCTTGTGATTTTTGTGAGCTCACAGAAAAGACATTTCATTGCCAGCAACTACTGCTGCATTCTGTATTGTTGTGCATTTGATAAATAAACTTCGATTTGATTTTAAACATCTTTGGAGCTGTCACCAGGTGACAGGTGGTGCTGCACTGAAGATGGACTATTTACATGTAGTGACCATTCCATGAATAATGGAATTTACAGGTCATAGGCCACAGGTCATAAGCAGAACTACCAAGAAGGGCAAGCAAAATTATACTTCAACATCAAACGGGCTACTTCAGCTCCATAGGTAATGGTTATCTCTACTGTAAGTCATTGGGACAAGTTTTTAAATGGTTTCAATTAAGAGGATTTTGATTTAGCAAAATGTTAGGTGGAAAAAAAGCTAAAAGAAGAACATTTTTCTTCTGTGCCGCATGCCTGGCAGAGTCCGAGCTTGGAATCGACAAGGAGAAGGTTTTTATTTTCCAAATCCCTATGGCCCCCCTCATTTTGAAATTCCCATTTTCATCTGGACTCCCCTTACTGAGACTTCATTTTTATTTTCATTTGAGTTACAGAATTTCTGCAGATCAAACCATGTTCTTTTGAAAACAAGGAGGGTTATGATGCAAGAAAGTATCTACGCAAATTGACTTTTCCTGTGTTTTTTTTATAAAAGCCTTACTGAGGGTGTTTGTAGCAGTAGTGACTTTGTGTATCTTCAAAGAGCTTTATAAGCACATTCATGTCCTATTTAAATATGAAGATTAATTAATTATGAGAATGCACGCTGGCTTCAATATGCCTTTAAGCCATCCCGAGCACATAGATGAAAGGAAGATATAACAAAATTATCAACTGCTGTGAGATGATTTCAGTCTTTCGACATTTACATTTATATATGCTTTTCACTTTTACTCAGGTTGTTCTTCCTCCAGAGTATCCAACTGCTGCACCTCCTATGTATCAGCTGAAGTAAGTATTAATAATAAATAAGAGTAACTAGTTGAATTTGTATACCACTTTTCATCTCAAAGGTTGCCAAATGCTTCATGTAGAGGGTGAGTCTCACTTCCTCCACCACTGCAGTGCAGTGCACCCCTCGGCTGCCATTCAGCACCAGCTGCCCCACTGCACTGCAGATCTGTGATCTGTGAGACTGTGTAAGAGCAGTGTCACGTAAACTGGACACCAGGGTTAACTTCCCTGCTTTTGCATCCCAGTGTCAAGGGATCTTTAGTGGCCAAGTGGCACAGTGCCTCCTACTGGACACTGTCACCACATTGGCTTATTGTCTTGGAAATTCTAGTTTGGGATGAGGGGCTGCCTTCTGTACAAGAACAACATTTTCATATGATTTAATAAGGAAGGTTCCTCACATGCTTAAAGGTTAAGGAAAGAAGCACAACAAGCTTTCCTCAGGTGTGAGGGACAAAAGGAAAGCTGCAAATTTCTGACGAGACACGAGAACGAGTGTTGAAACTCAGAGAAAACAGGAGAGAACTGGCAATAGACAGAATTTAGAAGGAGATTAGTCTGTCTTTGAGATAAGGGGGAAGATGTGATCCAATTTTAAGAATAATTTTAGTTTTGGATGTCTTTCTGCAATAGGAGTTAAGAAATGCCTATGTGAGAACGCAGACAGAGATATCAGTGTGATCAATGGGGTTAGAGATGAAATGGGGAACTATGGGTTTGGAGTGATCTTTGACTGTCCTAACTCTGATACGTTCCCTGAAGCGGTCTCCCAGTCTCCTTCCTGTAAAAAGCTAGACATTTTCTGCCAGAGATGCAGTAAATGAGGTTTTGGAAATACACTACTGTATGTCATCAGAGTGATCCGGACTTGTCCAGAGGGGTCTTGAATGAATTCGGTGTTAGATATGTACTTGCAGGTGATACAGCGAGCTCTGTTGCAGGGGAAAATGCCTGGTGTGGATGATTGCTGTGGGCGTTCAAGGGAGCCCACAACACTGTAAACAAATGAATAAGGAGATCTAATATTTCTGTATTCCTTAACCTTAATCCCATGTCTTTGAAGCCAAAACAACATAAAAGCTACACTTCAGATGTAGGCTGTTAAATTATGCCATGGTATTCCTGAAGTATTTTTTATCCACTAAGTGCAGTCTTTTCACAGGGCTAAGTGACTTTATCCCTACACTGGGTAAAGTGTCTTTTTGAACTGCTTTCCTTTCACCATTGTTTAGACATGCTAGCTTGTCATGCAAGGCACACACTTCTGAACTGCTCCTGCAGCTTTCAGAAAGTGGAGGCTTCTTAGTCATCTTTGCAAACAATTGTCTGAATAACTGCTATTTGAAAACAGCTTATTTCAAATCTATTTGTTTTGCAGCGCTCCTTGGCTCAGAGGACCTGAGAGAATGGAGCTTTCGAACAGCCTAGAAGAACTATATGCGTAAGTCAAGCAGTGCTGATATACCAGAATGCTGGCTTCAAAAATTATATCTAGCATGTAATTCACTCTTCAGATGTGGTGTGGTCTTTTTTGTTTTCTTCTGTGACAGTTGTTGATGAGTATGCAGTCCTAGTGAGTTACAAGCAGATCTTATGCGTTTTTCTGAAGGTTGTGCAGTTGTGCTCATTGACAGTTAGTTTTGTAGGCTCTCACAACCCGCTTTTTCAGCTGGTCACATACAGTATCAGACAGATGAACTTTGTAAGTCTTCATACAACATATTTTTGTTTAAAAAACAAAAATATGTTCAAAATTATTTTTGTTTAAAAACCAAAAATGCATTCTTTGTGCAATACAAAGGGCTATTCTGTTTCCCATTCTTTGAAAAATGACATGTTACACAGTTTTCCTTTGTAGTTTATGTATTGTTTAGTTGAGTGTAGTGTAAATTGCTGTTTTTTTCCACTGCATTATAAGTCAACATTACCATCAGGTTAGAGTACTGCAAAAATTCTTCTCAAATCATTTTTTTGGGGGGAAAGTTACATAAAGTTGTGACCGTGCATCTGTGTTTTCATGAGACATGAAAATATAAATTGAATTTGATTGTCAGAAATCCATGGCCAAGATTATTTGTTGGCCTTTTGTACAGATTAGTTAAATTGACTTCATTCTCTCTTCATCATTGCTGAGACACTTCAATTGATTCTTTTCTTTCATGTTTCTAACAGAGAGAACCTTGGGGAGAGCATCCTTTATCTGTGGGTGGAGAGAATCAGGGAATTCCTTGTGGAAAAATCACATTCTGCTGACTCAGGTACATTAAAAACCTTTAACTCTACGCAGTTAAACATTCTGATTACTTCACTGTTCCCTGAAGATTAGACTCTGAGGACCACACTTCAAATAACGCTTTATTTTGCAAAGCTGCAGAGATGTAATTACCACTGAGATAATCTGAATAAAGTTTATAAACTAATAAGTTATAAAACACCATTTAACGAAAACATATGTTTTTCTTAATGAATCAGAAATTGAATGATCAGATGTAATCTTGACTCCTTTTTACGCTGTTACCACCAAGGCTGCACACTTAAATTTAATGTTTTTTATGTTCCATTATTTACATTGTAAATAAGTGCATCATAATTTGTCATTCATAATGTATTCTGTATAACTAGTGTAGCCCTTCTAGTACTTCTAGAGGAAAAAAAGCACTATTTTTCATCATTGTAAAACCTATAAGATATACAGTACCTTGGTGTACGTTAAGACATATTTTTTTATTCAATATATTTTTCCCCACTTTTTTTATCCGCCCATCCATTTTCTAATCACGTCATCCAACATAGGATCATTGGGGAGCTGGAGCAGAATACACCCTGGATGGGACGCCAGTCATTCACAGGGCAGACAGATACAGACACACACACTCACACCAGGGACAATTTTCCCAGAAGTCATTTAACCCACCAGTATGTCATTGGACTGTGGGAGGAAACTGAAGCACCCAGGGGAAACTCACTTGAACACAGGGAGAACATACTAACTCCACCCAGACAGCACCCCAGGAACTGAGCCCAGGCCCCAGCGGTGAGATGCCGCAGTTCTAACCATTGCATCGCTGTGCTGCCCCCATTATTTTTAAAAAGACTCAATTTTTATATATAATTTGAAAAAAAAACTTTGCTGAACACTTAAAGATCAATTAAAGTTTTGTTTCTGCATCTTTTATGGAGGACTGCAATAGTATTAGTAATAGTAATGGCACAACATGTTTTGAAACTCTTTGCATTGGATTTGTTTAAAATGCTTCTCCATCATCATGAAAAAATAAAATTTACATTTTAACCTAAGCAAAGTGCCCACCTATTTGCAGACACTGGCCGTGGTGGTCTCTCTGTAATGCCTCTGTTGTTTCACAGACAGTAAAGTGTCTCTTACTCTGTAAGAACCCTTGGGCTTTGCCTGTATTCACAAATGTCAGGCAGCCTTTCTGCATAGGCAGCAGGTGGCGCTATTCATTAACAAATGCATACATTTTACATTATGGAATAGTTTTTAAATAGGAGCTTCATAATTATTAAATGATATGGTTATGTTGGGATGGTTGGTTTAGTACCTTTAAGGAACAAGGAACATTGTTTATAGTAAGTGTGGAGTCTGAGTTTGGTTGTAATGTCAAAACAGAAGCCAGATTCAGACTTGAGCTATTTAACCTTTTGAAATATTCTACCAACTATTACTTTTCATTCTATCAATGGTAGAAAAGTGACTGAATAGTGACTGAATAGTGTTCTCCATTATGTCAGGTAAAAAGGGGTTTATCTGGAGTCAAGAAGTGGATTGCCAACATATTTTCTTGCACACTCTGCATGCTGAAGTGCACATTGTGGGCATGTTGTGGTTTTGTGACTCTGGTTCTTCAGCTGTACTTGAGTGTGTAATATAATCAACAAGGACATCTTTTTTTTGTGTGTTTTAAAGACATCCTTTTTTGGTTTTGTAATATGCCCTGGCCTTGTGTGATAGCACTGGTCTTCCTCCTGTCTGTCCAGGGCTTGGTGCTTGGTGCTTGTTTAATGTTTCTCTATGAGTATTTCAAACTCACTATCAGCATCATACAAGCATTCGTCCTCTTCTTCTTTGGAGTCATGTGTATTTTATTTTAATTTTGTTGGATTCCTTCAAGGCTTGTCAACGGACTGTGTTGACTGTACTTGACTTTTTACTACCTGCCTGTCTTTTAGGGTATGAAAATACAAGTCAGTAATCAACATCTTGAACCTCTGTTTTATTGTTTGTGTTGTGAACACATTCTTCTTTTCCTTGATGCTCTGATGGGACTGTATGTGCAGTAGTAAATTCCAGCTGTTTTCGAACCACCTTATCTTGAACATGGGGTAGTGGGGGTGCTGGGCGCCCCTATCCCAGCAAGCAGGGGGCACAAGGCAGGGTACACCTTGGATGGGATGCCAGTCTATCGCAGAGCACACACAGACAATACAGCAGTGCACCAGCATTATTTTTAAAGTCTCAATTTTTCATATGTAATAGAAATAAAAAAAACTTTGCTTAACACAAAAACTAAAATTACACAAATGTTCACGTTTGGTAATATTTTATGATTCTGAGTCATTTTCTTTTGTCATGTATTTTATTTAATTATATTTTATGATTTTGAGTCATTGCACTAGTTTCAGACGTGTTAATAATGAGAAGCATCCAGAGGTCTTATTATTCCATCAGTGTCTGTGCTCCGGGGTGCCTGGAAATCAAATCTGGACTTAATGCATCGTGTATAATGCAGAGGGTAAAGCAGTACATCATTTTGGAATTCTTATAAGGCAAATAGTGTTTAAGTCTGTTCATGTTAGTGAGTGGTGTTATTTGAAATGGATCGCAGCACATTTTAAAGCATTGAATATATTGTTCCTGATTAAAATCTGATTTTACTTTTTTCTTTTGAACAATGGTAGCAGTAGTAAGGATAGAATTTTCTTCTGCTTTTAAGATCCCAGGTTTTTCCTCGACAATACAGATAAACAACATTCACCCTTTAGATGTGCTATAGCCTACTTTTAGGTATATATTTTTAATTTCCTATGAAACATAATTTCTTACTTTCGTACAAGACACACTTAACAGATTTTCTGATAACACTGATGTTTTGCTTAAGAATAAAGGAAGAGACGTAGCAACCTGTATAATGCAGGTTCAATAAGTATAAATGTAAGATTGTAATCTTGTAATGATTTATGGTACATTCTTATCTTATGGATCTTGATTCATTAAAATTTGCTGCCCATGTATATGCTCTGGAAAAAAAACAATGCACTACTAGACCCATGAAGAGCTCAGGCCTGGGTCTGCTCCTGTGGGTATCCCTGTTTTCATTTACAGTAGTGTAATTTAATGTGCTGAAGAAATTATAAGAAAAGTTAGAAAAGAGAGGAGGTCTTTTGTCCTTTCCTGGAAGAAGTTAAGACTTGAAAAACTTGTCTTCCCATAGTTCCAGACTCCCACAATCCTTTGTGTAAAGAAGTACCACCTGTTTTTGGTTTTAAATGCACTTTCACATAATTTCCACTAGTGTCCTCTTGTACATGTTTCACTGTTCATTCTGATTTCCACTATGTTGGTTTTGACAGTGCCTTTGAGGAATTTGAATAATTGGACTGGGCCTCCTTGTAGTCTTGTCTGTTCAAGGTTCTGTTTCTCCAGTCGGTCAGAGCTGACATTCCTTTAAGCCCAGAAATGTACAGTGCCTTTAGAAAGTCTAAACTCCTCTTGGACTTTTTATTGTTTACAGCATGGAACTATGATGTATTTAACTGAGAATTTTTACCACTCATCAACACAAAGTAGTCTATAAAGTCAAAGTAAAAACAAAATTCAGACATATATTCAAATTCAATTCAAATGAAGAAACAGAAAATAATTGAATGCATACGTATTTACCCCCCCCCCCCCCAGTGTTAATACTTGGTAAGACCACCTTTGGCAGCAATTACAGCTGTGAGTCTCTTTGGGTAAGTCTCTATCATCGTTGCATATGTTGACTCTGGACTTTTTGCCCATTCCTATTGGCAAAATTGCTCAAGCTCCATCAAGTTGGATGGGGACCGTTTGTGAGCAGCAATTTTTAAGTCATTCCACAGATGCTCAATTGGATTGAGGTCTGGGCTTTGACTGGGTCACTCCAGGACATTAACCTTTTTGGTTTTAAGCCACTCCGGTGTGGCTTTTGCTTTATGTTTCGGGTCATTGTCCTGTTGGAAGATGAATCCCAGTACTCTTGCAGATTACACCACGTTTTCCTCCAGGATTTTTCTGTACTTAGCTCCATACAATTTCCTTCTATCTTTATGAGTTTTCCAGTCTCTGCCGCAAAGAAGCTTCCCCAAAGCATGATGCTGCCACCACCGTGCTTCACTGTAGGGATGGTGTTTTCAGTGTGATCTGCTGTGTTAGGTTTGCACCAGAGTTCAGCTTTGGTTTCATTAGACCCTAGAATCATCTTCCAAATTGTTGAGTCTCACACATGCCTTTGTGCAAACTTCAGCCGAGATGTGATATGAGTTTTTTTTCAACAAAGTCTTTCTTCTTGCCACCGTTCTGTATAAGCCAGATTTATGAAGAGTGTGTGCAATTATTGTCTCATGTGCGGTTTCTCCCATCTATGTGAAGGTGTGTAACTCCTTTAGAGTTGCTGTAGACCTGTTGTTGGCCTCCCTTACTATGGCTCTTCTTGCCCAGACACTCAGTTTTGGAGGACAGACAGTTCTGGGCAGATTCACAGTTTTTCCATATTTTCTCAGCTTTTTAATTATGGACTTCACAGTGCTTCGAGGTATATTCAATGCCTTGGAAATTTTCTTATATTCTTGCCTGACTGGTATATTTTTCAAGAACCTTGTCTCAGATCTGTTTGGAATGTTCCTTGGTCTTCATGGTGTTGTGTTTCCTTGGAAATGCAATAACTAAGTGAGGAAACTCCCAGACAGGTGTATTTATTCTGAAATCATGAGAAACACATCAACTGCACACAGGTGAACCCCAGTCAAGTAATAATGAGACTTGGAGAAGAGAGTCAAGTCAGTTACTTCAGAGGTAATTTAGGTGTGTCAAAGAAAGGGGATGAATACTTATGCATTCAATTATTTTCTGTTTTTTATTTTTAATTAATTGAGTAAAACGATTTTTTAAAATGTTGACATTGTAGAGTACTTCGTGTTGATGAGTGGCAAACATTCTCAGTTAAATACGTCATGATTCAATGCTGAAACACAATAAACTATGAAAAAGTTTATAGAG